TGATAGCCGTCCCGCCCCCTGCTCCAGCATCGATCACCGTATCGACCCACGCTCCAGCAATAAGCACTGCATTGCCGCCAGCGCCAGCCCCAGTCACTTCTTCGACCCCCCAATCCGCGCCAATTGCTGTGTCGCCCCTGGCGCCAGCACTCGTCGGATTGCCCCCGGCTCCAGTCTTGATAACCGAACCGGCACCCCCTCCGGTGCTGATCACTAAATCGCCCACCTCCTCAGAGCCGGTCAGCGCATCGGCCCTCGCGTCAGCTCCGATCACCATGTCGCCTCCGGCACCGGCGCTGATAATTGTACCGCCCCCTGCTCCAGCACTGCTCACCGTGCGGACCCCCGCACTGATCAAAGTGCCGACCTCCGCTCCAGCACTAAACACTGCATTGGCCCCAGCGCCAGCCCCAGTCACTCCTTCGACCCCCCCATCCGCGCCAATCCCTGCGTCGCCCCTGGCACCAGCACTCATCTCCGCATCGCCCCCTGCTCCAGTGTTGATGACCGCATCGCCCCCCGCATCAGCGCTGGTCAGCGCATCACCCCCCGCTCCAGCGCCGGTCAGCGCATTGCCCCCCGCTCCAGCGCCGGTCAGGGCATCGCCCCCCGCTCCAGCGCCGGTCACCAATTCGCCTCCGGCACCAGCGCCGATCACCGCGTCGCGTCCGGCACCGGCGCTGATCGCCGCACCGCCCCCTCCTTGAGAGCTGACCACCGTGTTGGCCCCCGCGTCAGCGTCAATCAGTGCATTGCCCCCGGCGCCAGCGCCAATCAGCACTTCGAGCCCGGCATCAGCACCATTTATTGCATTGCACCCAGCGCCAGCACTGATCACCACACTGCCCCCTGCTCCAGCACTAACCACCGTGTCTGCCCCCGCATCAGCACTGTATACTGCAGCGCCCTCATCAGTCATCATATCGGCCCCCGAATCAGCACCGTCTCGTTCGGTAACCCCTACAGCTGCACCAATCACCCCCAAGGCCCCTTTGCCGGCGTCGTCTATTGCAGCTGCTTCCCCGCCAGCTCTCTTCACCACAATGCCCCCAGCGCCTGCGCCCAGGACCGCGCTGCTCACCCCAGAACCGGCGCCCTTCACGTTGCTACCGCTCATTGCGGAGCCGCTGGCCCCCGGGTAACTAGCATCTGGGCCGCTGGAAGAACCGCTCCGCGGCCGAAGCTGTCGGGTGTTGCGGGGGAAGATGGGCGGGAGCTGGTTCACGTTGATCGCGTCTGGGAATGTCGGGGCGTCTTCTTCACCCAGGAGAACTTTGGTGGCATAATAGATGAGCTCCACACAAAATTCCCAGAGTTTTGGAAACTGAGCGATTAGAACCGCCACTTGCAATCATACTGAAACTCTGTATAAGCCACTATGCCCTATCTTCACAGCCCCATGACCACTTCCAATCTGATTCGTTCGAGGGCCCAATATCAGCCAGAGGCAGCCTGAGCAAGGCCCGCAATTGGAGACAAGCTTGCTTTCAATCGCTGTGCTTCTGATAGCCAGACTGCTCAGAAAGTCTGGCTCACAAAGGCTGGCTTTTCCTTTACTGCCTAAGCATATTTGTACAGTTGGCTCTTACCATCTCGAAAGCTGTGCAAAGTCTTACTCACAATATCTGCAAAGGTGCAAAAAAATCCGGCGGCAGAACACAGTAGCATGGACAGCCCATGCCTGGATGGAAGAGAAGTATCGATACATCGTTGCAGCCCTAACAGTATAGTCCAGCTCTTTTGTTATCTGCACATGCCCAGCTGATCCGAATCCCACAACTTGTCCCCAATTTGTCCCAGGACCGCGATGACACATACTGCAAGTGTAGGAACGTCGCAAGGCCATGAGCTTCATACACTCCTCTTGCAATCTCCTCAGACAATCCGAAACAACGACTCTGACCATATCCAATGACGGGTAAATCTCAAGCCTGGGGGCTTCTTTGCCAAACAGGTCGGAAAGGCAAGCGGAAGGAAAGAATAGAATTCAGACTGACCTCATGAGTGCTGGGACCGACATCCGTGGACCTGAAGTGTTCTGATAAGAACGGGTCCTCCAAGTTCTCAGGGTCCGTGACAAGGGCCCACGTGAAGGCGTCGCACGTGAGCAGGGCAATAGAATAATTCCCCCTTCTTGAATAACCATGGATCTGCAACACAGAGCAAACACGTCAATCTTAAAGGACCCTGAACCACAGTCCCCAGAAGATCTAAGAAATCATGCTTTGGACTCCCAGACCCTTCTTCCTGAATCTGGCCTTAATTGACGCACTGTAGACTGGCGGCTTCTGGGTAGGTTGCCACCCCAAGAAGCAAAGGACCCGCGCTGCTCAGCCTTGTCTTATTTCAATTCAGCAACAGTCTGTGCAGCAGCACACTCTCTCTGCCCAAAGCTTCATACAGGCAGCATGCCGGGAACCTGCTGCGTAAGTAAGTCTTCATCGATAAGCTTTGCTCAGTTCCCTTTAAGGCGAGTGTGCTTAGTCTACAGCACAAGCTTGAACAACTAGAGACTCGTACCTGACCAAGCGACTTTGTGATAGGGTGCGAATCGTCGCCTTGGTTGAAGACGTCCACCAGGTCCACCTTGGGGTCCTCTTCCGGCTTGATTAAGAGGGGACGATCCAGGCGGTCGAGGTTAGCGGCCTCCATATCCCGGGATGTGCGCCCCTCATGGAGTATCCACAGGCATTTAGCCTCGGCAGCCCCCTTTTTGTGGTTAGTATTTGGGATCATGAGGTTGACATCGGGTTTTTTCCCGCTTGGGGCCCCCCCCAGGCTGTTCCGCCCTGGCACGGCAGCGTTAGGAGGTAGCCTCCACTCAAAGCGAAGCCTCTGGTCGTGGTACTCCTTCTTCAGGACCCGGTTGACAATCTTGAATGCCTGCAGCAAGTTGCGAGTACGAGTGAGGACACAGCCATATAGCCCCCAAAAAAGCAGGCTTTCCACAAACACAAGGCCTATCCTCTTGATGATCAGCGGGCTGTCACATGCAGGACTTGCGCTCATATTCATCTACTGACACAGGTTCAGTCGGTCATCAAATCAAATTTTCATCCTACTTCATGCGCTCTCGAGAATTGAGCAAAACACATGAACCAAAACGGTAAGAGCTGGTTTTTGCATATTAGAAAGAAGAAGGCATGATGCTTCTGCCAGGCACAAAGGAGTACTTACGTTATGATACACATTGCTGTGCAGCTGCGCTTCACCCTGTGAGGGTTCCTGGCGCTCTCGGTCAAGTTCTGGGGGGACAAAATCACGGGTTGTGTCCTCCTGACTGTTCATGAATTGCCGTACCACGGGTTTCAGCTGACACCGCCTGATCGTGCGCGGAAACTGGTTGACTAACGATGACGAGCACCTCAGCATTCTTGCTTCCTGGTGTGCTACACCATTGTTGGTCGGGAGGGCCAGCAGTTCCTTGCGGGACACCGGGCCTGTAAGAGGATTGAAAAAGTAGTAAGACATTCCAAATTGAGCCAGGAATAGCCTCAGCAGGAAGGGCTTTGCAGACCTCAGGCATGCTGTTTAGCTATCGGTATTGCTAAACCTTGAGATAGTTTCTGCTAAGGCCTGCCATTTTCAGGCTGAAGACATAAGAACTGCTTCTACTACTCTCAGCCTTCAGAAGCATCCGTGGTACAAACGCTCAGCACATGCATTCAGGGTAGATATCCAACCCACCTATGGACCTAGGGCCGCAAATGATGGACCCAGCTTGCAGGAACATCTCTTCCACGTAGCTCGACCTTCCTGCATAGATCATTGATCCCTCTGCAGTTTTTGCATATGCAAGTCCAGTTGCTGTCAGAAAATCGGGTATGCTAACGCAATTCTCGAGCAACATCACCATCCTTTGCTCCTCCATTTCTTCACCATCATAGCGGACACGGAATGTAATGGAAGTAGCCATGCTCAGAATGAGCGCTGGAGGCCAAGCACAAAACAATGAAGCTGAAACTCGTTCGCTACTCAGGCTAATGCCAATGGTGGCCAGCAAAGGTCATTCTGCATTCACCAGACCGCCCTGTTAAATCCACTATAATGTAACGGCAGCATCCTCACCACCCCCATGCCTTGCGCCTTATCTTGCCTAAGACCAAGTATATTATTACTACTATTATTATTAGTTCAGAGTCCGGTATATTATACCTATGCTATCATTAAATCATCTAAGACTAGGATATAGACTGAAGAGCAATTTGATGTGAGAAGCACGCACACACAGGATGTGGCAGACAGGCTCTCTTGAAGTTGAGCAATCTTTTGCCATTGGCAGTGTCCAGGCAAGCCTCTACAGACAAGGCGATCCTGTCAGCTGCAGGAGCACGTGATATGGCATCATGTCAGGCCCTTCTCCAGCAGCAGTGGAAGTTGCTGACGGCAGGTGCAAGCGGACGACAGCCGCCGCTGCCCTTTTCCACATTGCCACCAGTGCCTGTAATTTCGGTGCACTCGCTCCGTTCCCTTCATATGTCGCAACCAGCACCCTTGCCCAAAATGTCGCATTCAGGACCGCCGCTGGCTTCAAAGTCAGGGCAGCCTTTTCCACAACTTATTTCAGACTGCAGGAGGCAGCGGGGCACGCGCCACGTTTTGCATAGGATGATGGCCGTTTTGCATAGGATGATGGCAAACTCTAGCAATGGTGGTGGGAGCGAAAAGTCTTTCGAGGCAGACATTGAGACTAACGTGAAGCCCGTAAGTGAACTGGGCACAGGCGCTGTTGACACCGAGGAAAGCGAGCAAACGGGGCAACCAATTGCGGCATTGCGATCGCAAGAGACCCCCGACAATGTCAATGAAGGTGCAGTGCGTTTTCTGAGGGCTCCCGTGTGGAGGGCGGTGGGGAAGGCGCTGTTGATACCTGTGGCTCTGCTGGAGCGGACTTTAAATGGTGAAGTGAGCCCTGCTGCCTAAAAAAAATTCTTGTGGGTCTGGGCACTGGTCGAGCCTCTGATCGCAGGTCGGCAGGGTGGTGGGTTTTCCAATGTTGTTAGCAATGTTCCTCTAGTGCAACCATCATTCTGAAAGTCCAAGCTAAGGACGGGGTGGTCACGTCTTGTGGACTGCAAGCGGTCACTCTGCTCATGTGTGAGGGAGGCCGTTTGACTGACTTTTGCAGTCCCACATGGCATAGAAGCACAGGAAGCGCGTAGATCCCATCACCAATGGCAGAGAGTTTTGGCCCCAGGAAGTCGGATCAGAAGAGTCTACCTGCACCACAATGGTCACTGGGTACCGTCAAGTGTGCCCACTTACTGGTCACATCATTTCTTAGAGCCTGCCTCGGCCGACAATACGAAAGCCCAGACGTTCTCTGACTGATGCGCCGCTAGACCTGCTCATGTTGGAAAGTATAATCGTGAAACTATGTGAGATTAGGCAGACAACCTTTGTGGCTGCAACGTGACTGACGTAAACATGCTTGCACAGTGGTCAGATCCGCCCAATCAGAACCTGCATCCACAATGAATTTCTCGTCGCTCAACTTCTGTGCGGGTGCTTCCGGCCAGTGTACCGAGTCACCTCGGCGTCTCAATCCCCAGACCCATTTTGTATCAGCTTTCTTTTGTGTGAAGTCTGCTTATTTGTAGTCCTGATCTTTGACCGCAATCTCCTCACAGTGGCTGCGCAAGGAGTGGCGCGTCCCCTGGGGCGTCCACGCCACGTTTGCCGTCTTTTTCGGCTCCCAGTTTGCGGCGGCTGTCATGGGCCAACTCAGCGAAAACCTCCTGTGTCGCATCCTGGGGTCGGAGATCGCCGGGAGCGAGCTGCAGCGCTTTGTTTCGCGGACCGCCGCCTACCTCACGGTCGCCCTTATCCTGGAGGTGTTCCTTTCCAACCAAAAGAAGAAGCTCGAGGAGAACCCGTTTGAGATGGGGCGGACGTCTCGGTGGGGGCAGCTCAAGTGGGTGGCCCTTTGGTTGGCATTCAGGATCTTGTGGGGGGGGATCGCGTCCCGGGGGCTCGTACTTTCCGGGATGTGCGAGCCGCCGTCGGCGTTTCCAATTGAGCGCATGCCGCTTACTCTGGAGCACGACATGCGGCTGGGGATCGGCGGAGAGGTCGTGGGAGGTGAGAAGCGAATGATGACAGATGTCGTGTCAAAAAAGGGCTTGATTGAATGTGTGCACATTCAGTTTCTTGTTGGTTGACATTGGTCGGCGACTTAGACGGGAAAGGGCCCGTGTTGACAGCAAAAAAGGCAACGCAGGCTCAAGGCAGCTTGCCAACCGAAACGGCTGACGCTCGCTTTCTTGGCTGTCAACTTTTTGTTGTGCACGGACTACCAACGGTATCACGGTATCACGGTATCATCCAAATCCAAGTCTTCACCCCTTCGGCCAATCTCAGACGGCAGCAAAGAGCCTCCTCGCTTGTCCCGACTTTGATTCACTATGTATCCGTCTCTGCACATTCTGCCGCCTCTTGATGACAAACCCGCCTTTCGGACCATGCTGAAAAAAGACCAGACCTTGTCGCTGTGCAGGCCTGAGCGCGGAGACCGTTGCGGGGATCGCTCGATTCGCGGGCCCGCTCAATTCCCTTCTGGACGTCGCGGTCGCCCCCTGGTTCGAGGAGGCGTTCTTCCGGGGTTTCCTCCAGACCTCGCTCGCATCTGCAATCCACCCCCTTGGAGCAATCATAACAACAGCGTTCTATCAAGGGCTGGTCTTCACAGGCCGCTTACATCAGTGCAGCGTACGGCCTACGGTTCTTCACCCGCTGAGCCTCCTCTGGCGGTGGGGTGCCGAATCCGCGCTGGCTGCTGTGGCGTATGGTTTCGTATACCAGAGGACACGCTCGCTGGTGCCAGTAGTGCTGCTGCACCAGCTAGAAATTGTCTCCAAAATGCTGATCGTTCTACAGGAGAGGGCGCTTATTGGGACGTTCCTGAAAGTGGCCTTGCGGAAAAGTGCTGCAGGACAGTAACGCATGTTCATGTAATTATGCAATCAAACATTCCAAACGATGCGTAGGGTTGCACTTCGTGTGGAAACCTGTCGATCAATCATGATAGTCTGGCGTTACTCTATATGACGGGAAGGACAACGAATCTGGAGTTTTGAAGTGGCGGCAAACACGGGTAGCGAGTCAGTCGTATCCAGAATGAAGATGACTCCTGCATGCCGCAAACTGCCGCCTTGTGCATGTGTAGGGGTATAACATCATATAATCAGCGCTTGCCAGGGCATCATCGCCGGCCCCTTTCATTTGATGTGCATCTATGCACACGCGGTCTCTGAAATCACCAATCATATAAGCCCGGTGGCCACGACGCCACAGCGGTCACATAGACCGTACTCAGTACTGAGCTCAGAAGAATCTTTCAAATTACAACCAGTTTTATTATGCGGTCGAAGCTGGTTCTTTGAATGCAGTACGTGACTAAGACTTGCTGCGCCGCCTATAGGCTAGCACATGTAGGACCAAACCCCGGCCGGCCAGCTGCATGTGTCGGACATGCCGGCCAGCAATTACAGAACTTCAAATGTATCGGTATAGTACTTTGAACCACTTGCAGGAGTTGCAGCCTATAAGAGTCCTCAGGCATGACAAGCAGCTATAGAGCTGCTCAGTGCCTATCGCACAACAGTGGTATGTGTATAAAGCGAGGCTATAACTGCGGGCAGCCCCTGCACATGCATATGCATGGTATGATCGTGATTCGACGCTCACCAGCAGAAGAAATGATCGATGTGACCATCATAACAGCAATGATGCGAATTCAGCGCACATATATGTGTCAACTCGTTATGTGCATAGATGTGTGAGCAGATTGAAAGTTTGGGATCCTATATCCGTTTGACAAAGCCATTTCATTTCTTGATTAGGAATCACCTCTTTTAGGCAAAACAAGCCCTCTGCCGCACCTGCATCAACTTGACGGGAATTGAAAGGCGACCAGACACCCGCCTTATGACGTTTCCAACTTGTGCGCTCAAGAGTGTGCAAGGAGGTTCTCAGAAAGCTCCTTTTGATTGTGTAATGCCAACAACTGCCAACAACTGAATAAGGCAGCCAACTAAGTGCGCAGGTACCATGTGCAGAGAAGAAGCAGCTGGGTTGTGCTGGGCGCCAGCAGCTTGTCAGACTTGAGGTATGGTCCATTTCCGCAAGCACGCATCGTCTCCAGCAGAAAGAAGGAGCGTGTTGCTCAGCCACGCGACCGCCGTGACGCCGCCCGGGTGAGCGCCCTGCAGCAGTGCGGAGGCAATGTCAGCTCCCGCAGCACATGGACGCTGTTTAGTCTCTTGAAATAATAACAATAAGCTCGTCCTCGTAATCAGATCTGGAGATGACTTCTTCAAGGCTCTGTAAACCTTGTGCCACAATGGCCTTCCAAGCCCAGTGCTGCTCACTAGTCCCACCTTTGTGGCACTCAGGCTTACGTGAATCGCATGCAGGAGAAATACACCTCCCCAGCACCGTGGCTGGCCTTTCTCTGTTTCTCGCACGGCTGCAGGATCTTTCAAGGAGTTTTGCTCGGGGGCCTTCTTCCAGTTGTTCAAGTTTTGGTCAGTCATCGACGGTCCAGAATGAGGTGCGCCGTTTGATGGCAAAAGCAGAGCTTAAACTAATTACTCAACGGGAATAAGAGTGCCGCCTTCGGTCGCACCCTACCTTGATGGACTGCCGCGCGGAGGCCGGCTTGTTGACGTCCCACACGAGCAGGTTGGTGTCCAGGGAACCGGTGGCGAGCCGCGTGCTGTCGGGGGACCACGCGATGCTGCTGATGCGCGCCGTGTGGTACAGCATGTCCTTCAGCTTCACCTGGAGAGGGAGCGCAGGAGCCGTTCATTTTACAATAGATGACTTGGTCTTGCGCTTGGAGATGCGGTGAGCAAAGTGGATTGTGATAAAGACCGTGTGCTGAATCTCATGTGTTCGTACTGTCCGCATCCAAGAAAACGCGATCACTGCCCTTCAATCTCTTATAACCTCTTAATTTTCAGCAAGATGTAATCGATGTCTGCCACCCCGGTTGGAAGGTCGATTTGTGGCTCGACTCCAACCTTCCTGTTACACTCGACTTTCAAACATCAAACGCCGACGGCCCACCTCTCTCGTGACCCGGTGCCACACGACAGCTTCTCGGTTCTGGTCCGCCGTCGCAATCCAGGCCCCGTCCGGTGAGTAGCGCACGGCCATGATGGGACCCCGGTGCCGCTCGAGAACCGCCTCCTCTTCGAGAGAATCTCCGGACACTCTGTACACGCGCACCTTCCCGTCCGAACCCCCAACAGCGGCCTCCTTCCCGTCCGGCGCCAGCCCTGCGGCGGTCGCGTTGTAGCCGACTTTCGTTGTGGAAACTAACTGCAAAGAGGAGCGGTGAGGTTCGCAATGCTGAGTGGCTTTTGTATGGCGGAGCGTTTTCTTCGTTCTTCGGCAAGGTGTTTTATAGTTCAGCTCTTGGCCGAAAAGAATACCAAATCTCTCGCTCAGCGCGCCTGCAGGTTAAGGGAACTCATCCAGCGGTTGGAATGTACTGATCAGGAAAGACAGCGCATCGGTATGTGGGGGCAGCCTGCTTCACCATGTCCGTCGTGCAAGACTTGTCGTGCAAGACAGGGCAGCGAGGCGCTCATCCGCAAGCTCTCGAGATGGGTACCGCCTTCCTCAATACAAGACCCGAACAGCTTTCTGCTGATCCCCCCAGCCGAAGCTGCCAAACACACTGCAACATCTTCAAGGCCAAGAGGCTACGTTGCGGAGTCCTCAGCGGACAAACTGACTTCGGCCACTCGCTTTGAGTATATACCTGTCCATCTCGGAAAGACACGTTGCCGTTCACTTGCCTTTCCATCTCGGAGCAACACGATGCCGTTCGCAGTTGCGACGATTGCTAGGTCTCCGGCCACGTCCAGATCGCTCGGTTGGCCGCCCAGAGGGACTGGCCCGGGCGCTTCTGCGTACTGCTCGGCTGGGAGCGGAGTCCGTCGGAACGTGTCGTCGAGACCTACGGAGAGCAGTTCTTGGGACGTAGGAGACACCGCGAGAGCAACGATGCCGTTGGTGTGACCTGCACGGAAAGGAGCGGTTGGTGCCAAAAATTTCGAGAGTAGCGCAGTGAGGTTCCACGATGACTGCGAAGACGGAAGTATGGTCTTCGCAAGATTGAAACGAAGTTGCACACTCAGTAGTAGGCTGCTCAAGGAATTGAAGAGCTTCGTCATGCGTAAAACCCCCAACATATTTGGGCTTGTTGCCAGTAGTAGCCGGCTGGTAACTCACGGCTCAAACGGCTCAAACCTGACCTTTCCTGCGGCCTCGATGTGAATCGAACTTCCTTGAGCTCGAAACCCCAAAGAGCACAGAAGTGTTTTCATCATTGCGGCGCAGATTGCTCCAAAAACCTCTCTCAATATAATACTGTGCCGCATTTGACAACGCCTTCCATGGTCGTTGCTCCGTGAGATTTTCTTAGCAACTACCATTTGCTCAAACAAATAAACATGGAAAAGACTTATGGTTAAAAGTTCTAAATCCTCCGCCCAGCGACAGAATCTTTGCCCACCTTTGCCCTGAACCTTCCCAAGGCACCCCCGCTCGAGGTCCCATCGCTGCACGCTCCCGTCGTAGCTCCCGGAGAAAGCCTCCCGTGCTGGGCCGTGCTTGGCGGGGACGACGGCAAGCGCGGTGACGTACTTGACGTGGCCGGAGATGACGCGCGCGGGCTGCTGCGGGTGGGCGGGGTCTAGATAGTTGATGGCGCCGCTGAGGGAGACGGTGAGCAGGCGCTCGTTAAGCCAGAGGCAACCGACCTGCGGAACAGTTACGAACAAAAGATTGAACTGAGGATCCTTTTGAGCGCGGGTGCCCGGCAACTGCAGGTTGGAAGTCCCCGGAAACATATATAAGTGAACCGACGGTGGCGAGAGAGCGACGGCAAATACAGGGTAGGACGAGGCACAATCATGTCGATGGGCCGGTAAGGGGCATTCGGGCTAGAAAGAGGAGGCCAATCGGCGTGGGCATGCGACGCGTCATTTTCCGAGCAGTTTTGGTGCTCGTATAGCAAGCAGGCTGTGAAAGCCTAATCAGTAGATTCGTCGAAGCAAACCCACAGTCGGCCGAAACGGGAAGCTGAGCTACTACAGCTGTGGAGAGGCCAAGAAGAAACTGGTCCACTGCAACGTCTACTGGGAAAGTTCGATTTTCATTTTCTTCCAGGTGACGAAAAATCGCTCTCGTGACCTGTCTCGTGGCAAAATCCTACATATTCCATGCCATCAGTCTGAGAAATTGCAAGTCTGAGAAATTGCAAGGGAACCCTGGCAGTTCAAGCCGTACCTGCATATCCTCCACGGTGGGCTTGGCTGCAAACGAGAACGTAGTCTCCACTTCTCCCGTGCTTCCATCATCCGCAATGCTCCAGATCTTGGCCGTCTTGTCAGCTGATACCGTCAGAATCTGCAAACGATCAAAACGGCGGATGATGAGTCGAGCAGGGCGGAAGAAGATGTTCGAGCATGAGCACATCGCAATGAATGACGAATCCAGTACAAGACTTCACAAGAAAAGGTGAAGGGCAAAGACTGTGCATGAATAAAAGCGAAGTCTTCAAAGCCCGGGAATCGCCACAGGTGCGTAAGAGGTCTAATGTTGCCAAACATGGCTGCTGCGTGGCCCGAGAGCCATGCCTTTCCCTGCACGTCCTCTTGACTAACCACAGTCATATTCGTGGACTTCTGATTAAGTCCACGAATATGACCGTTGTTTTTGAAATGCAACCCTGTTGCCAGTGGGATCAGAATGGAGATATTTTGCGAGTAGAACCAACCCCTCTCAAGACTTCCAGTTCTTGCAAACACGGTGAAGCAGTCATCTGCCGATTCTCATGAGCGTCCAGTACAGGCGGGGTTCTGTCTACCTTCTTACTGTCTGGGCTCCAGCTGAGTGCGTAGATGCTGCCCTTGTGGCCGTTCTCCTTCTTCAGCTCGCCCTTCTTCTCGCCTGTCGCCCCATCGTAGACGAAGCCCTTCTGGTCTGAGGACACTGTGATGAACTTCGTTCCATCCGGAGAGTACCTCACGCAGTTGACAAAGTTGGAATGCTCCCTGCAATGACCATCAAGATAGGGTGGTTTTAAGGTTCCTGCTGATGACTACACATGAAATCTTTCAACAATCCATTTTGCGGACCGTTCAACGAAATCTCGTGAGGTCCAGTATGCAAAGATGATCCACAAGTCAGGTCCGAGCCAAGACTGTATATGCTTCAGAATCTTGCAAGCCCATCTTATTGCTCTGCGCAATCTTACCCGCCTCTTATGGCTGATGAAAACCTGTTCTGCAGCCATTCCAGTCTCCAGCGATCTGTTGAGGCCAAAGACTGTCTGGACACAATAGCAGGTCACCAGGGTAAAAGAATGGACTCTTCGAGGTCCAGCTTCTAACAGGCGATGTTTAGTGCAGAGATGCTATGTCAGCAGGTATGTTGCGCACCTGTGGGAAGTTTTGAACTTGAACGGCGGCCCCTCGTAGTAATTCACCACGAAATCCTCCCCGCATGAAGCAATCCGGAAGGGCCGGGAGGGCTTGAAGCTACAGCTCAGGACTCGCTTGGAGTGGCCCTCAAACTCGCCCAGGTTGCCCCCAGCGTCCCACCTGCAATTGGCACAGTTTAAGTACACAAGTTATCTCAAAACAATAGGCTGCCTGAAATCCTCTCATATTGTGCTGCGTGAGAAGATATGGTACACCAACGATTCTTCACCAAGATTGATTCTCTGAGATTGTTGTCGGCTAGTTGAGGGAGAAACCACACAGCAGCATCGGGTATCAGAACTGATTGCTGACTCGATGGCCAGGTGCTCCCCAGAATTCCCAAAACTTACGTGAAAGCGCGCACGAATGTGGCACCCTTTGCATCGCCGCACACCACAATCCGCTGGCCGTCTGCCGACCACTGAAGGTCGTCCACACTGCCCCCCAGGGCCCTCAGCTCGTACTTCAAGCGGTGCTCAGGGCCATGGACAGCCCAGACACGGACCTGACCAAGACACAGTTTGAGACATGCTTGTATATCGCCAAAGTTTCTGGGCCTTTAACAATTCTGACATGGCTTTCGTCAGATTGTGGTGCGCTTGTCAGCTGAAAACCAGTTTTTCTCCTAGAAACACGAGTTTTTGGCTTGATTGGTGATCCTTTCCAAACAATTCTGGTAACCTGAGGGTTTGTTCGTGAAACCTGTCCTCCCTCCATCAAAAAGGGAAAGAGACCTCCGGAACATGGCAGGCAAGTGTTGCATTCCCCATCTTCCATTAAAAAGGAACCTGCTGATGAAGCACAGGCCTAAAGAATCCAATTTCCAACAGATGTAGCTGCATAGCCGGTCCTTGACTGAGTGCCCCTGAAGAAATAGAACATGACACACATAACCCAGTTCTAAAGCCCTACCTGTCCCGAAATATCTGCTGAGGCCACCCATTCGCCATTTGGACTGAATCTTGCCACTGTGGTTGCGTAAGCGTGCTCACTGTAAATGGTGCATTCTAGTGGGTTTTCCAAGCTCCGCAAGACAACTGATCTGCCATTTGTGTAAGCAAAGCGCCCTGTCTTCACGTCTCCCGCAATGAGGATGCCCCGACCTCTTTCTGTGCCTGGCAGACAGGCATGTGTGGTTTCCAGTTGAGGAGCAGCCATGGGCCCACTTTGAAATTCGCCAGACAATGCAGCCACTTCTGTTTTTTGGGCAAGGCAGAATGCGCCCTTCGAGACTAGTAGTAGCAAAGTTACCCAGTCTGCTGCTCCGTTCAGGCTCTTCGAGTCACAGAGCAGTCTGAGCTGCGACAGCCACTGGCTTCATACTTTGAAAAGTTTCAGGCAGAAACGAGAAAGCAAATGTCGGCTCAGCGAGTAGCGCACATCTAGGCTCAAGGGGTGGCACCACTGTGACCTGAGTTGTATCCTAGAAGCACCACTCACCTGCATCTAGAAGTACCTGAACGTGGAGGAGCTGCTTGATGCATGTTGTCAGGATCCCTCTTCTGGTCGTCTTTGAAAGCACTAGCTAATTGAGCGGTCCATTTGATCTGCACGTATAGTCGCTGCCTGTGATTGCAAGCTGGTGGACTTCTTGCAATTGTTGGTGCCACTATGTCGGATTCCCAAGAGGTGGTCGCAGGTGCCGGATGGGGTAATCTTTCGCTAGATGAACCTTCATCACGTCCAAGTACAAGTTCAAAGCCTGCTACTGTTCCTAGTGAAAGTACTCGAGCTGCAGCAATTGGTGGTCAAGGCCAGATGCCCGAGTGCTCTAGATGGAACTGCATTTATCCTGCCTACATTGACAAGAAGAAGTCGTCGCAGCAGGGGCGGAGGGTGCTTGCTACCCTGGCTGCAGAGAATCCACAGGCGTATGAGATTGCCGATTGCTGCACGTACTTCAAATTGCCAACAGTCCTTGAGGTACATTCTGCTAATGCTGAGACTTTCTTCATAGGAAAGGTGGTGGTAAACTGTACGCATCAGCGACATTCCCTGACAGCGTGACCTTTGACTGCCAGCCTCAACTCATTGGTGACACTCATTTCTTTGCAAGATTACTCAAGAGCTTTTTCTACACAAATGGAAGGATTCTTAGAAAGCAGTTGGGGACGATCTGACCCATGAGCAGGTTTGAAGGTCTTCAAGAACCTGGATGCCCCAATTTTCAAGCAGACTTTTATAAGGCTTGTTCATTTGCGGAATACTAAGTATTTCTGCCTTCTTTGATCTCGGCTTCTCTTCTATAGAAGGTCGGCTTCTCTTCTGTAGAAGGCCGCCCTTAGCGTTCTTTCTGGGGGCGCATTTCAAGGACAGCTGCAGTTCAGCAGTACGAATCAGGGTGCCCATAGATCTCTGTGCTAAAGTCTTTGCTTCTAGAAATTGAGATTACTGTTATCTCCGTTAAGAAGCCAGTTCAAGAGCACACTCGTTTCAGGGGGGACTTTGCAAACTTTTCTGGTTACGTGATTGTCATGATTGTTGCGACACACCGGGTATCACTCAGTCTGTGATCCAAAGATTCTCTAAGCTTGTCCTCCGTCCAACACTCTTCCGTTGAATGGGCTGCTTCTTTCACATCAACCACCTTCCGCTAATTCAGTTGTTTCAAGTGTCATCCATTGCGTTAAGATTCGAAGAGTTGCTGTGGGTATTTCATTGCGGTAAGCCATATGCTGTTGCCTGTCTTTTGACACTTGGTGCTTTGGTGCCACCCATCGTTTGGGCAGACTTCAGTTACAGGTAGACTCAAAACCAACATGCACTACTTTGCACATCTGACCTTGCAATCAAACTGCAGTTGAACAAGAGCTACTCGAGAGACTTCCTTCAGCCTGGGAGAGTGAGGGTTCAGATAAAGCGAGAAGACGGCTCGCCTGTGAACCCAGCAATACCCAATCGTAAGTCTGTCTTCTATCCGGCATATAATCGAACAGTTATGGAAATCCGCTCTGTTGGCAGAACTCGCTTACACACTCTCTGTCTCTGTCGCTGCTCCCCCGCCCAATTCACCTTTGACTACGTTGCTTTCGTCTTCATTGTAAGCCATCTTCCGATTTGGCTGTGACAAGATGCTCATTCTATTCTTATCGTGTAATCATACCTCTTTGAGAGTCGAAACTCGGATGGATTCTTACAACACGGTTCTCAGTCGACTCAGGGCTTTAAAGCTAGGGAACTGCAGGCAAGAGATTTTCCACAGAGTCTGCTTGCTGCTTCTTCAACTCGAAATCGTACTTCGAAACCAGCTATGAAGCAAGAATGGTTTGACCCAGACATGCAGGAATCGCAGAAATCGTCGTTCTCTGTTCTACATTTGCGAAACTTCTGGCAAGTGCCATCGATCAAGCCACTTGTTGAATGGTTTGGAAGGCTGGCTGGGAGCAAGAAACAACGGCTCCCTGGTTATCTCGCTGAGCGAAGCCAGTTTGATTAATTGGTATTCGTGCAGAGGATGTAGCCAGAACATGATGAAGATTTGGTCAACCAGCTCGATTGGCTCTCGCAGGACCATTGCATCGCGAACACAGTTTCACGGGAAAGAATTATAGGGTACAAAAGTCAATCTCTTTTGTGGCACCGATTTTTGCAGGGAAGAAGTTGCTCGAGGAGGTGGCCAAGATGGTGCCCAAGCACACGGGTAGGCAAAAGAAAGCGGCAGAACCGGCTGCAGGGGGCAGTACTTCTGGTGCAAAGTCCGGGAAATCGGGAAAGAAAAAGAAGTAGATGTTTTTGCTGTGAGGTCCTGAGTTGCTGTTGGAAAACCAATCCTTTGCAGGGTACAGACCAACACGAGACATGGTACTTCCTTTATTGAGTGCATGATGACGTAGGTAAATAGGGTCCGAATTTCACTGTTCTCAACCTCAATATCTGTACCTTCCCTAAGGACAAACAAGCCTGCCCTGACCCACCCTTGCCCCCCTGACTGACCGACCAGAATATACTGGTTGCCTCTGGTGATTCGAGCATTCTACTACTAAGCACTCCGACTCCATGCAGTCAAGTGACCCCGATGAGGTATGCGTGGTACTGACGTTCAGCGCCGGAGTGTGCTGCATTCGTCTAGATTGAGATCAAATGGTATGTATTTCATAAACATGCCATGTACCGTTGAGGGGCATATATATGGTCCAAGTCTTTTCTAGAGTTCTAGAATTTGACTGCTCAGAGTGTCAACTGGATGCAGCAGACAAGGACAGTAGCTTCCGATGTCACATACCTATATGATCATGCAAGCAGTTTGATATCTGATATAATTCAGTCCATTCCCAGGTGTTCCTTCAATCCGAAGTTGAGTGTTGATGCAGGTTTCGAGTAGAGTATATATGGCGCGGAATTTGTATACTTCTCTGTTGTTGTGACCCTATATCTAGATCCAAGGTGCATGGCGTAGAGTGCATTGTCCGCAAAGTCAAGGCTTTTGCTGTGCCTGACAGTTGCAGCTGATGGTTCAAGTTACCTTGGTTTCAAGTGTAAATCATAAGTTTATCGGTATAACAATCCTTCACCAAAGAAGTTGTCGCAAAAATTATGGAACATTGCAACTTTGAATTGCCACGATGACAAAAATCCATTGCGCACAAAATGTAGATTCGTGCATGTGGTGTGAGAGATTGCTCATGAATCAAAAAGTTTGACAACCGTGTTACATCAGCTTGTTGTGCCGTTTGACCAACTGGACAAATTTTTCAAACTTTATGAACAATGTTCCTCGCTACAGCTGACATCAGTCTGTGCTCTGCGACCGGAAGAAACACAATCCATGTCAGCAATTTTTTGTCCGGAACTTGTTATTGCTAACACAACTCTGCTCTTGATCTCAATCAGGTGTTGCAACTGCAATATCTTGCCTTACTGCCCGGGCGAGAAAGCGGTGGCGTAGGCAAAACCTGCAAGGACATTGGCAGCTTTCAGTCAGTGTACACTTCCTTCCTCGCAAGTTGCTGCTTCAATCCAATTGGTAGTTTTTCCACAGGCATGCCATGATTATCACTACAAGGAGAGATATAGCTGCAAAATTACAACATTCTTCATGGTGCACTTCACAAATATCCATGAAAGACGTACCGTTGTTGGCACCAGGATCAGCCAGATGATCCTGGAGGTTCTGGAGAGGGCCCTTTCCAGTGACCAGGGCCTGGACAAAGAACCCGAAGCAGGAGAACATAGCCAGTCTGCGATAAGCAGTAAAAGTGTCAGTCATCTGCCTATGACCAGTTCCCCAGTTCTGCTTTTTGATTTCCCAATATTCATCGTTTGAGAAGATGGAATCTGTTAGGCAATGGTACACTCAATAAAGGGCCTGCAGTGACAGGTGCAACAGGGGGAAGAAATGCTGCTGGCCTTGTAAGCCCAGTGCTCATCAGCTCCACGACGACTCCTCAAGAAACGAAAAATGTGTACAGACCTTCCGTTCTTAATCTCCTTCACCTTCAGCTCAGCAGCCGCCTCAGGGTCGTCTGCAAAGCAACAAATGTTAGGTCCAAAACTTCCAAAACTCCGAAACAAACAATGTAACACGATAGAGGAAGGATGAGCTCAACGATGAGCCTACCGTTTCAAAAGAAATGCCGACACTTCTGTTGTGATCAGGAGTGCCGAACCCAAGACTGTCTAATCAAAGACACCAGCTTTGCAATTTTGTCAACACTGTATGTCTCCACTTTAGAACCTATTATGTTCACTGAATTTAGGGTAAGCACTCATTCAACACCCACCAGCAAGACCCAAGGGGTCAAAGGCACCACCAGGGTACAGAGGGTCATCCCTCTCCTGGAAACCCTCCAAACCATTCACGCGGTACCCCTCAACGGCACCCATCAGAATAACCTGCAATTGTTCAAACAGTACAGAGTTTGACAATGCCCTCAAAAGGGACGAAGTAACTTGCAATATAAAAACGACATTGCATCAAGAGATGTTCCTTGAACTGCAACAAGAGCTAGAACAGTGCGTGGCTTTACCTGGCAAGCAAGGGTGGCAAGGATGCTCTGGGCGTGGACGAGGGAAGAGTTGCCGAGGTAGTTCAGGCCATCGCTGTCAAAGATCTGAGCACCAGCCTTGAACCAGACAGGCTCCTTGATTGGGATACCTGTAGACCATGGAAGATTTAAGTAGAAGACACCTGTGTTTGGTACTTTGCTAGATATTTATGTGAATCTGGGCTTTGCATAACAAAGACTCTGCTCCTGCTTCTCTGACTCAAGTCCAAGATGCATGCATGTTCCAAGGACAACTGACATGGTGAAAGAGACTGGATAATAGAGCTCCACTCATTCCTCACCACTGTCAGCCAGAACCTCAGGCAGGATCATGCCCAGGGCACCAAGCATAGCCCATCTGGAGTGGATGACCTCAAGCTCTCTGTTCCTGCGGAAGCTCTCAGGGTCTGCTGACAGACCGCTGCTGTCCCACCCGTAGTCACCAGGGTATGTTCCTGCAAGTGGAGGAGTGGCACGGAGTCAGAGGGTGATACTGAAGGTACTACATGAATACACCTATTTGAATTGCAGGAGGCTACTTCTGAGCTGGCCCCACCCAATATGCCAGCAATGGTACTCAAGATGCAAAGAGCACACATCAGTGAAATATTCTGTCAGTCATTGGGGCAAAACTTAGCAATCAACATTCTTACCATCTCTAAGACGTTCAAACAGCCTTTAAACAAACTCTTTGTAAGCAAGTCTCAAAGAACGACTGCCAATAAGCAGTGCAACGAAGAGGTTTGGTTGCCTCACCATCCAAGTAGGCAGGTGTGCCACCCTCAACCTCGCTGAAGGGGCCTGTTTGCAAAAACAAGAACAAGGAATGAATTCAAGGGGCGTTCAAGATTCATCAGAATAGACATAACCAACCATGCTTGGTGCGGGACATTTAAAAGTACTTTCATCCCTCCATTTTACTGTTTTGGACACGACTACTGTAATGCGCGCATTGGATCGGTGCATTATAGAGTACATTGCTTTGATTGATGCATATGACCAACACTGATTGGTGCACACTTGAATAGAGACACGCAATGCACAGGCGCATCTTCTCACGTTTCCTCCATCTATCAGTTCATTTGGGGAATCTCATAATCACCAGTTTCAGTGCCAAACTCCTGGAGCACTACATCATTCATCATGTCAGTAGTCTAACAATGCACACCATTCAGCAATTGGAGAAGAAGCGACATACCGAGGTACTTGGCCCTGTCAGGTCCATACCACTTGCCCAGTCCGCCGGCGCCGGGCTGAGTCTTCAGACCCGCAACATTCCTGGAGCCACCGGTCTTGCGCATCACCATGGCAGAGCCATTGCTGACCTGGGACAGCTCCTTGGCAGAGCTGATGGCAGCAATGCTGCTGATGGAAGCAACACCCGAGGTGGCGAGGGAGGAAGCCATGGCAATTGGATACTAGATTGCTATCGTTGGATGGGGGGAAATGATCAACTGGAATATGGCGTTCCGGGCAAAGAAATGCAACTTTGGCCTTCCGGTCGGCTGGGAATCTGCCGACGATGCACAATGAGTCATGACTCATGACAATGTGGACTTCGGTTTCCCAACAACCGACTAGACTGCACATCCAACGGTTGCGATTGCAGCGTCAAGGTGAAGATATCGCACGCGAAGGCTTTCGAAGCTTACAAGTGGCACGCCTTTTTGGATAAGAATCACCCGCGGAACACTTTAGAGGTTCTGAAGATGGAAGGACACAACAAGGAGACCCTATAAGTCTTCTGTAGGTTCGACGGTCGTGATGGGCGGTTGCATGTCGATTGGATGCATGCAAGTGACATAAAGGCCGGTCCAATCATGCGAACTTGCTGTCCACGTGGCAGCCTCTGATACGTGCGAATGGGATTCGATAGCAGCCTGTGTGTTCCACGCGGGAAGTTGCGAGTACGGTACACTGTACAGGAAAGCCTGGTACCGGACTTGAGCTCAGCCACTCACATAATACCTACGGTTGGAGTCTGGACAATGGAAAAGTTAGGTACCGTACCTAGTACCGGTACCTACTGGGTAGGTACCGTCCTTACCGTACTACCTACCTAGGTACCGTACTGAGAGCTGTACAACTTCCAAGCTGAGTAGACCTACCGTACGGTACCGGTATCCTGACATCAACAGGTTTCCCAGGCCATGGTCAAATCGCCAATTTTGAAAGTCCATTGTGCCATTGGACACACACACAAATCATACATGATGTACTAGTATGTCATGAGAAGCCTATTCGCCTACGGCCTATTTCAATGGCTACGGCGAGTAAGAAAAGAGACCATCGCTTAACTGGCATTTGAGGGCATGGGCGCGGGATGGGCGCCGCATAAGGGCAAGGTAACAAGGTAAGGAGGGGGTAAAGACTCCGCAGTGGTCATGCAGTGAGCTACATTAGTGAGGCTCGATGAGCCGAAAGGTTTCGAGTCCGATCCCCGGTCCGATCAAACACCAGTGCAGAGGATACCTAACAGGATGACAGAAAAGAGGCCATTCATAGAAGCAAGCAACCCACTGAGTTTCTTCTCTAGTGAAAAAATCATGTAAGTATGCCATGAGAAGCAGGCCGAACTGTTTGGCGGTCACGGTCGCGTAAGCACTGGCTACGGCGTCGATCATGCACAAGACCATCAACCGCGGCCTTTTATCGTCCTATTACGACCAATCGAACGATAGCCGAGGTCTAAGTGCATTTGGGCCTCCCATTGCCCGGCAGACTACAATCTGGGATTGACAATCTGCAAATTACTTAACATGTTTTCATGCTACTCAGATTCTGAAAAGATTGCCGCGATTCGCAGACAACAGGCCGCGGGCTGGCATTGTTGGAATCATGCTTCCGTCCCTTCACTATAGAATCGGCTCGCCGGACAGCTTTGACTTCGAGCTTACAGGCTTGCCAGCCAGAGTTCAATGTGACCCGCAAAGTTGCAGAATCATGGATTATTCTTACCACTCGACCTGCGTTGAGTACTTAAACATTGCCAATGCGAGAAAACGGGATTCTCAAACAGATTTCAGGGGCGCCCGCTTCTAATCTCCTTCTAAGTTTAGTCCCGGAGCTACCGTACTTGTCTAAGCACTTGAAAACATACAAATTCACATCCAACTTATCTTTGATCTCACTTCCTTGAAACATGCAATAAAATAGCCAGTAACTCATGGTTGTCCAAACGTGCAAGAGCATGATCTTGATATAATGATAGGCATGAGCTACGATCATGAACTAAGATCGTAATTCATGCCGAGTCAAAACAGCATATGAAGCCTAAAAGGGTCACCATGATCTCGGGCTCGTCCATCTGATGACTATGGGACTTAGAACCTCTTTGCTGCGTTGAGATCTAGGCACACGCTGCACATTTCGAGCTCGTCCTTCTCTGCCTTTGCGGGCACAACCCAAAACGTGAAGTCACAACTGACATTTGTAAGATGGCTTATCCCAATCCCTGGTGCGGACTAGCTAACAAGAACTTAATTTTAGACAACGGATCGGCAGGTAGATCGAGCTGCTTGAGCGTGGAAGCCCAAAGCTCCTCAACAAGCATCTCATCTCGAGCTATTCGAGGTACGTCATTGGGCTCGAGATTTGAAAAGTAGTAAGGACCACTTCTATATTGTTGACTCCTAATTGCGCCAGCTACTTTGATAACCTCTTCATTTGTAGCAACAAAAAGCGTACATCGAGCGCCTGTGACAGCAGAGACAGACACCCATGTCAAAGAAGCAGCGATCGCAAGATTGGCGTGCTGAGCATGCACTTCACGAAAGGTAAACCTATCTACTAGAACAAAATTGCTGATGCATCATGAGGACCTTGTGTAGGGTATCCAGTATTAGTTGAAACCAAGAAGAGATGGAAGAAGAATGGTTCCAACCTTGACTAGGCGTAAGGAGAATACTCGATAGCAAATGCTTCTGGAGCCGTTGAATGAACCTTGGCAACGACCTCGCAACGTCCGTCAGGGCCTCCCCAGGATGGAGGGCGATGCAATTAATGCCCGAAGACTCGGAAAGTTTCCTTTGCAGAGCGTTTGTAAAGATCACCTGGAACAGTCAGAGTCAGTTCAGCACAGTTGGTCGTGAGCAATTGAGAGGCTGTGGGGGCTGTTTTATAACGTTCATGCAGCACTGCTGTATGCTTTCCTAGCAGCAATCAGAATTTTCATTCTTCCAACGGCAGGATTTGTGGCGCATTACCAAGCCGCTCCTTGCAATTGTCGTGGCCCCATGAGCGATTTACACACTAGCAAAACCCCTGTGCACATCTCTGACTCCCTTTTCCGCTCCCCTTGTGGGCGAAAATCTCCCAAAGTCAGGTCTCCTCAGTACATGCTTCTTAAATTTCTGGCTACTCTTCGCTTTTGCCGTTTCACGAGGTCTACCAGAGTGACGGGGCGCATACCTGTGCGAGCTTGCTGTTTGAATAGGCCTTCACAGACCAGTAGCTTTCTGGCTGGGTTAGGTTGGGGTCGTCAAGGTCGATCGAGCCCAGCTCTTGCATCATGGAAGATACCATGACAACTCGAGAGGATCCCGCTTGCGCCAGGTAGGGCAGCAACAGCAGGGTCAGCAGCACTGAGGCTAGGTAGTTAATGCCCCAGTGCTCCTCCAGCCCGTCTACAGTCTCACGCCGAGGGGCTGGGCAGAAAGAGGGGTTGCAAACGCTGTGATAAGAGAGCTGCGCGGCGAAAGATCAGGACAACCCTGAAGAGACTGGCGGCGACATCAGAAGAGGTCACGCTTTTCTCTTCGTAGTGGTGCATCATAAGCAAGAGGACTCCGCAAAGGAAACATGTGAAACTGCCATTCGTTCTGCCTCCTGGCGACAGGACATCATTCTATGCTGCTCTCATTCAATAAAATTCCCACCGAGACCAAGGGCAACACAGCCTGGGGCGGGAGCCAGGAAAGCTTAACATATTCAAAAAGCGCTGACCTGTCCACTCCAACAACGTCTATTTCCAAGCTGGGGGCAGATTAATCAGGACAGATTTGCCATGCGCATCAGATATATTAACAGACGAGTTTAGAGTAGACGCAGTAGAGTAATTTGGTTGAGCCAAGGGTTGGCTGAACGTCTTTGGGACAATTTGCAGGGTAAATGTTGGGTTTGAGTTGAACGAGACTGAAAGTGTACAACATCTTCTCCAGCAAGTGACAACAGATTGCACTTGCGTCTGACTAAGAGTCCACTATGACGGTTTTGCCTGAGCTACCTCGTCCCAAAAAGGTACCCTGTTTCTTTAGGCTGGACTTTTTCCTGAAACTTCAGACTTTCATTGATTGAGATTCCCAAGCCGTTTCTTACCACCCATGTTGAAGATCCCTGCGTTATTAATCAGGACGTGAACTGGCCCCCCACGGGCCTTCCAGCCACTGACGAAGGTTCGAACACCTTCCAAGGAAGAAAGATTGAGGCATCGGACCTGCAGAAGTGATTGGAAGACCTTTCACTCCTGATGTGCCATCATGCGGGGCCTTCGGAATCTTCGCAAGTATGGCTTGTGAGATAGTCAAGCACTTACCAAGAAAAGGGAACAACTGTTAGTGGTGCCCCAGCCAACAAACTTTATTTGTACTGGCAGAATTGGGAGCACCGCATATGATCAAGGAAGGGAACAGCCGTAGACTCGCAGTTGACAACAGACTGAAGGATCACCTCCGTGCTCAGTGCCCGCCCGCTCTCTTGCGCCCATTTTGCTGCCAACTCCTGTCCTCTCTGAACGTTCCGACAGGCCAGCACGACATGCGCTCCCGCTAGTGCAAGCTCCTTGGCAGTCTCCAGGCCGATGCCCGAGGTGGGGCCAGTCACAATGCAAGTCTTGCCTCTGATGGAGGGATGCACAAAGGTGGAGGCCTCAGAGGAGAGGTGCCGTGTGAACCATCGCTGCGCAATGGCGTCCCCAGCCACCCGTGAGAGCGCAACTAGAAACTCCAACCACGTTGGGCCGTAGATCCGTGCCATGGTTCTTGCAGGATGGTACAGCAGCTGTTCTCTTCGCCGCTGTCTCTCCCGCTTGGTGGTGGTATGACATGGACTGAGAATTATGTCAAGACATGTGCAAGCTGATTTAAGTGTCCATCATTTGTCAATCTGCTAACGACAGATCTCCAACGACGAGCACGCTGGGACTGTCTTGCGTATCTCTGTTTGACTGCTTGCTCGTCTTGAAAGCCAACGTTCTGTTGTGATCGGCGCAAGAGCAGCGCCTCCTTCTGGATTAATAGGAGCTGAATTGCACTTGCAAACAAGATCAACATCAGCTTCAAAGCCTGTCCCTGAAAACACCACCACTGTTTGAAACTTTCAACTGCAGTGGAAGAACGAATGCCACTGTTCTGTTGCCAGGGCAGATTTGCCAGTGTTTCAAACTGAATCAAATGCACCATATAGTCAGCAGACAGCACAGTCACTCGCGCTTGCGGAAAAGTTGTGAAAAAGGTTTCGACATTGAAACTTTCTTGGGAACAAAAATAAATTGTAGAAATTGTTGTGTCGAAAAAAGTACAGCTTGGTCGAACGGAGCAGTAAGTTAACCCGAAGGGACAAATCAACCGGGTCCCGGCATATTACCTACCGTACATGCAAAAGCTAGAGTTCTGACCGCAGCCGGTTACGGTATCCGTGCCCGGGAGATCCTGTAAACCCTTCCAGAGATAAATCAGGGTTCCGAAGACCGAGCTCAATGTAAACCCAATTCTTACCAGAGCCCTCCAGTCCACCACGGTGACCACCTGGCCAGCTCAATTGCAGAGCGTCCGCCGTCCGGTCCAAAGCCTGTGGCAAAACTGGGCAAAGGCAATGGCGGCTCTTTCGTGAACAAGCGTTGTGACCGGGCCCGGGGTACGAGCCAGCGCCTTTCGAGGTCAATTGTTTGGCACGAGGATGTGGTGACCTTGCAGCTGAAGCAAAACTTGTAATTCTGGGCAGGGCGGTCCATTCCGGGAGCCGAATCACAATGGGTTCAAGATACGGTGGCCGCCCGGAGCAGGACTTTGTGGTCAAGCTCGAGCAGATCCCCCGCTGGGTGGACGCAGAGACTGCAAGCAATGGGCCCACCGAACCTGGGGCTGGAGACGGGACAGACTCGCGTTTCCTTGACCCCCTGTCGGCTGCGGCTGCGGGCGCGGAGGGTGCGGGTATACATGGAGAGGCGAGGGAACCATCAAAGTTTCCGGTTGATCAAGAAGCGAATTCCCGGCTGTATGTTTGGAGGGGGGCTCCCTGGCCGCTGGAGGTGGATGCCGTGGTGAATTCCACCAATGAGGTGGGTGGGGCGCACAATTGGCCTCAATGCACCGATTGAATGTGCAGAATTTCGTTTGGCTCCGTTCTGAAAGAAAGTGGCGGGCAGGTGAAATTCGCAGTGCATTGCATTGCGCATGCTTTGTGATGTCTTGGCGCATAAGGGGCCCCAAATTGGCCTATGTCTAAGTGCTTGCTGTCCAACTGGTTCTGAGAAAGCTGACTGACGCATGCGCTGCCCGTGTGATTATGCCAGACTCTGGACGAGTCGCGCAGCGTGGCGGGCCTCCATGCAGCTGCAGGACCGGGGCTGGCCGACGAATGCGAGACCTTGGTGAGCTCTCCACCCTTGATGATCTCAAGTGCAGTTGTTGCAGGACGAAACCTTTTGCTCTAACACAGCCGCTGGAAGCCAAGCAATGCAGAATTCTGCAGGCCAGTGAAGGTGAATATTGGGATTCTTCTCTCAGAAGGTCAAGCGCAAACCGCAATCCTTTCAGTTGAGTGTTGTGATGCTGAGCTGCTTTCTAAAGGCTCTCTGTGCTCCGCATTTGCAGAACGGTTGCAGGGTTGGGGAAGCCAAGATAACCAGTGGTTATGATTTGCCAGCCAGGTGGGTTTGGGAACAAGTTGTCACATGACAACAAGTCATGCGTGCTGCATCTACGTTATTGAAGCTCTTGAGGGGCACGCTGATTATGCCCCAACATTGCATTTCCTTGCTGAAAGAAAAGTTTGCTACAATCCGAGTCCAAACCTTATTTCTGGAATTGGCAGGAAGGTCATTCACACTGTGGGGCCTCGCTATGCCCCCAAGTATCACACGGCTGCAGAAGGAGCGCTGAGCAAGTGCTACCGGAGCTGCCTCGAACTGTTGATAGAGCAAGAATTGAGAAGGTAAAGAAGTGGCTGGTTGTCTATTTCATTGGTGCTTTTGCTTTTATTAACATGCCCTTTAGTGATCAACTTGTGGTGTTGCTTCATCACCACGATGTTTGGCTGCTTGATGGAATCTTTTTTTAATTGCTCCGGTTATCCAGGAGCAAATGAGGAGCAGAATGGGTGTGGCGCAGTAAGCAATCTTTCATCTGGGCAGGACAGGGAGATACCAATGTTTAAGTATGATACGCTTTTGCAGATTTTTGTGATTTGAGAACATTACTTTTTAGCCCAGTCCTACAGTCACTCACCCTCTCTGCTGCCTTTCCAAGTTCGAGTCTGCAACGGTCAACTGCCTCTGTTCTATTCGAACGTTTTCCCTTTTGGCCTCTGGCAGGAGAAGAGGTTCGACTGCCTTGATGATCTAGAACATACGCAGTCCTTACAGAATCGAATTAATCAATGCGTGCAATTGTCCCGCAGCATTGCCATGGCCCCCATCAACAACGACTCCAACTATCCACGCGAGCCCGGCGCCCATGTCGCAATCCGTACGGTGCGGCGATTCCTGGAGAAGCATAAGGATAAGATTGACGCCCTGGTGTTCTGCACCATGACCACTGCCGATACCGAGATCTACAAGCGGTGAGAAACGTGTCCATGATGGGGTCGAGAAGTGCCGCATGGCTTCTGGTTGGAGTCCCTTGGCTCGGTGGACTCAAAAGCCTATCTGCTTTCAGTCAAGCAAGAAACGACTTCTTTAAGCCAATGCTTTCTTGCTTGTTCCCTTCTTGTCGAGTGCCGCGTCGTTGTGAGTTTGCATATTCGCCTAGAGCCAATGTTTCCGCCGAGCGAATCTCACCATCGCCGGATTTCACGTTCTTACCTGTTCTTACTCATGACTTCGTTCTGACGTTCTGCCAACCGTCATGCTGACGCCTTGCCCTGTGCCCCGCCAGGCTGCTCCCCCTCTACTTCCCGCGGGACCAGGCGGAGGAGGACGCGGCGCGCTCGAAGCTGCCGGCCGACGTGGGCGATGAGAACGGCGGGGTGGAGGTGCGGGAGCGCAAGATCCGCATCGGGGTGCTGCCGGGGTCAGGCCTGACGCCGTCGCCATCGCCCAGCCCGCGCTGGCAGGAAGGGCCCACCAGCTTCAGGGGGCCGGGGCCAAGGTACGCAGCGCTGTGCACAAAGTTTTTCATGTCGGCAGGTCGACTTTGATAGGTCGTGGAGACAGGGGCCGCGAAGGGAGGTCCACATCAACTACTCTTGGAACTGAGCCGGAGTCTTCAATTCGATTGGGGAACCGTTTTGGTCTGAGCACAGTCCTTGATGAGAATCGCGTCGTTCTTTCTTACTTTCAGCTCTGTGAAGTCAAAAACGTAACACATCTGGAATTTCGGAATGTGAGGTATGCAGATTTTTGGCGAAGACAGGATTTGCTCGTTGCTCATACGATACGCGTCGAGAGCGACCTAATCGTTGGTGCATCTCTCCTCCAGCTTGGACGTGCGGGAGCTGGTGGACCCCAGCTTCGTGTCCATGGCGCGGGACCCCGACGTGCGGAGAGCGGAGCAGATGGAGCGTGCGGCGCAGGCGGCCAACAGCTGGCGGCGCTGGGGCAGCCTGGTGAGCATGCCTGTAGGCACCACAGACCCTCCTTTCTCTTCTCTCGATCACTCATGAGAAGATTTGCAAAACCACCCGGAGGCAGCTTTGTGGGAAGAAAGGTACCCTCAGCTTGCAAGGTTTCTGGATGATGGCAGGGAGGATGCGTCGATGTTCTAAGGATTCCGCATCCGGATCTGGATACTGCGCATTTTGTCCGTGTGGTTCCTAGTATCGCCCCGCATGTGATCATCCTTCCGTGGCCGGAGGTTCGTGCGTGTAGAGGAGGACGATTGCTTCGAGGAAGGCTCAGGTCCTCCCCGCCCTGCAGATTGGGCTGGGCCCGCCCCCGCTGTCTCCAGCCGAAGAGGACGCGCAGCATGCACGCTTCTTGTCCCGGGCGATGGCGACCAACCTGCAAGACCTGGCCGACATGAAGATCCTGTGAGCTTGTCCCCTGGCCCTCAAATTGTTGCCGGACCAGCTCTGTGGGCTGGTGTTGCTGTGTAACCGGCAGAACACATCGACTTTGATCGGGACCTATGTAGAATAGGGCTTGCTTGTCGGGAAGTATGGACCACACTATCCAGGGTCTTCAGCGAAAGACCCAACCAATCGACCCAGCCAACCTGAGACTCACATGCCGGCACAAATCCGCTGGAATGCAAGCTGTTAACTTTCCTGTGAACGACAACCTGCGGAAGAAACTTCGTTTAGTGGCTGCATAACCGACCTAATACGGAGTTCCTTTCCATCCTCTGTGAGACGATGTCTGCACGTCTGTCCTATACGTGGGCTTGCAAATTCTTCACTCTCTGAAAGCGGATCTGTGCGTCTCTTCCAGGTACCGCGGCGGCATTGACTTTGAGGGGCGGCCCATAATGGTGGTGGTCGGCGCGCACTTCATCCCCCGCTCCATCAGCCTAGACAGGTTCATCCTCCATTGCGTCAAGGTGCGCTCGCTGCCCGCCGTCTTGGCCCGTATCTCACCAATGCTTCGCGGTGCTGATTATGATCCACTTGATCGTCGTTGTGCTTGGACAATGCAATCTCAGCACGCTATAAAAGCTCTTTTGGTTCGAGGCAGTTGCAAAACAGGTAGTGCGCTTTTGCTGCTAGCCTGCAACTTTGGGTGGCCTAACCTGTGCATCGGTGTTCAAGCTTGGAGCCAGTGAAAGAGAACACCGAACCTGTTGTCAGCAAGCTATAATCTCTCTCGTTCGAAAAGCGGTCGAGATGGATTGGCCCTTGCCAAGTGCAATTTCAAAGCATTGTTAATGAGGTTAATGACATGTTTTTTCTCGAGTTTCCGCAGGAGTTCGAGCCGATCTCCCAAAAACCTTTCAGCATTGTGTACATCCACTCCGCAGTCTCCTACGACCAGTGAGTACCCCTTGCATATGTGGATCTTGATTCGATTCTAGAGGCTTCGAAGAGTGTCTTGGTCTGCTTTCGATAATGTGATAATTCAGTCTTTGGAGAAACTCCATTTTTGGCTGTCAAAGACAGTCTCGTCCTCGATGCTAGGATTCGTCTAGGTGTACGTGAATCTGCGGCTGCATCTCCCGTTGATCGAATCACGAACCGAGGGGTGTGTTTCACTCCGAGTTCTGGACCTTTTCAAGAGCTTAGGCTTCCTTTGGGCTCATCCTTTGGTCTCGATCTCGTGCTGCAGACAGCCTGGCATCACGTGGCTGGAGAGGCTGGAACAAATCCTTGGTCGAAAACACCGAGCCAATCTCCGGGTGAGCCTCGTCCCCCCGCCTGCACCTGCGCCCCACTTTGTTTGACGCAATCCGAACAGGAGATAGAAAACGCGCTCTGAAAGCCCTATCATGCACACAGGCGGTGCCCAGAAACGTTAAGACCCGCCGGCACAATTGTATGCACGAAAACGCCCCTGCTCAGTCACTCGGGATGCAACCTTCCGCGTCCCTTTGCTTCTCCCAATGCGCAGCTTTCGCGATCCCGTTCTTTTTTGCTTCCTGCAGCACATCTACATCCTCCACCCCACCATCAGCTTGAAGGCCGGCCTGCTGCTGCTGCAAACGTTCGTCCAGCCCGAGGTGCGCCATTGGCTCGCTCACATTGTGCCGTGTGTTCTGTGCGTCCTGGGCCTTGGGTCGCTTACGCGGGCGAGTCGACGGCATACCATTGCAAACCCTCAAGACAGTACTCAAAAGTGACGTCAGAATCTGGTATGTGACGAACTGGGAACGATTCCAGACCGGTTTGGCGACGAAGTGGCGACAATCATGCGCCAAAAGTCGTAGTGACGGTCTAGTCACGTGCTTTTACGGTGCTGTTTTGTCGCTGAAGAAAGACAAGGGATTGAAGGTGTCGCTTCGGCGCCACTTTGGTATCGAATAGTACGGGGTTCGGTGCGGTTCCACAAGGCGCTCTGTTCCGGCTCCTTTATCATGATCTACCTCGGAGTCAGGCTGTCGATGTCAAAACCTCGACCTGTTGAAGTTCCGATTTGCCGGAGCACCTGCGGAGAAAATTTTATCAGACGGATCGTTGGGCTCTTGTCACTTCGAACCAATTGGGGTGCAGGGTCGATCGGAGATTCGCACAAGATGATCTCGAGCCGAGTGCATCCTATTGTTGCTGAGCTGCCCAGCCTATGGATTGGGGTTATGTAACGCTCGCAACTTTGCTGGCTTCGCAACAAGTAGCCGGCTGCCCCTGAACAGCCCTTGTGTGTGCCCAGGTGTGGAGCAAGGTGATCTACATCGAGCACCTGGGGGACCTGTTCCGATACGTGCAGAAGGAGCAATTGTCAGGCATCCCCGACTTTGTGCTGCAGTGAGTAGCCTTCCATGCAGCACTCTGATTACACCTTGGAACCTTGATTCTTCAACTCTGGGCCTGCCCTCTTCTCTGGCGTTGTCAAGTTTTTCTTGTAAGATATTTCTACTGCTGTCGCAAAGGTGGCTGCTGGAATCTGTCTATTATTCTCTCAGGAAAGAAGTTGCAGAATGTCAAGATTAGCAGGTAAATTGTCAGAAACTAAAGAATGTTGCTGCAAGCAAAGCTCTTTTTGTTCCTGAAGTTTCTGCTCTGTTCGCTGCAGGCATGACTTGGAGATCTCGGGAAGTAAAGACGCCATATTGAGCGGGGCTGTCAAGAACCGTATACGACGAAGTCAAGAATGGTTGGGCGACCGCTGAGCCACCGCTTGTTGCGCGCAGCATTTCTCATGTACAGAACCGAGTGTAAGTAAGATGTTCACATTACCCTGACAAAATAAAGCAGACGTGTCTGCTCCTCACTTGGAGATATAAAGGTCCGACGATTGTCACGAGTTTCCCGCTGCTCAGTTAAAAGGGCCGCACACCCACCACTTGTATATGCATGGCTCAATAAGCGCAGTCCATTTTCTTCCTTGCAAGTACACAGTATAGGTTGTGTATGGCTGATACATGCGCTCAGGCTGGATCGTGCTTGCGTTGCTCACTTTAATTGTGCAATTATCACGCAAACGGATATTGAAGTGTTAGCACGCTGTCCGCGCGGTCGATGCGAGACCAGGAACGAATCATGCTGTGAAATATGTCCCTATAGGGTGTACTTTGATAAAATTCATTGCGCATGCCAGGGTGCCGCCTGGCATGCATGGCTGGTCAGTGTGCACATCGTCGAAATGCGTGACTTGTTGTGCAGATTGTATATCTATCTAAGATTCAATGACGGACTGCAACTTTTGTTGCATTGTCCGTTTCCATGCCTCAAGTTATCCATGTCACGCAAAAAGAATATATGCATGCCGGCGCGGCGCGCTGCCCAGCCTGCTGAGGCCGGCGGGAATTGATTCCATAATGTTAGAAATCTGGGGGTGGCCCGGCAGGCTTGCATGCGTATAGGTGGACGCAACGATCGAGATTAGTACTGCACATGCCAATGAGTCCTGCACGGGCCCGGCCATATATGCATTAGCCGCAGCATCAGTTGGACATGATACAGTCACTCGCGAGCACCGTGCACGGACGTTTCAGTAAATGGAGAGTCAATAGTGAACTGCAACGTATTGAGAAACCACTCGCATGGCCACTCATTTGCTCCCCGTTTGCTGTAATGACCTTCCTATCCGTTTTCCTTGACCTGCCATGATCAATGAAAAAGAACAAAGTTCTTTGATACCTCCGTTCAATGCAGAATCGAGGGGGCAAGGACCGCGTCATGTCATCTGATCAGATCGAGGACGTTGCGCCTTCGCTGCGATCCGGATTGCTCTTCGCGTTGCTCATTTTGCTGACGCTTACTCGACAGGTGTGCAAAAAAGGTTCGAGTATGCCCGCACTAGATGAGCCGGCCACTCAGTGCCGGCTGAGCTCTACGTCGATTCAGCGTTGGTTCGACTCTTACCTTGTTGGTGCGCAATGTCAGAAAGATGAACTAGAGTGTGCCCAGTGCAAGGCTTCAGTTATGTAGATCGCGGTACATACTTTTGCAAATGTGAATTGTGACTCGGACCTCTTTCGAAGTTTCGAAAGGAGAATGGAGAATGGCCATGCAGTAGTCTTGACCCGATCTTTGACCGACTGCGATTCGGAAGAGACGACAAATGTGGAGGAAAGCGAAGATCCTGCTGCGAAGATGTGAGCAACAGCCCGCACACGTCGAATATGAGAACAACAGGGCGCGCAGGACGCGTAAGGGAGCTGTATAGGAGGGTGCATGAAAGACGAGCGCGGCGCCATATTCGGCTAAGTGCGCCTCTCGATCAAGGTCCAGGCGTTAGTAGATTCAGAGTGAAACATTCTGACCCGGGCTCCTCGTTGAGGAACCTTTTGAGCGGTCTTCGATACTTTTGCGAAGATCAACCTGACATAATTCTGATCAGGTGCATCTTGCACTTATCTCGCTAAGGAATCAATCTTGAGGACTGAATCAAAAGGACAAATGGCTTATACATCGTGCAGGCAGTGCAGCAATGAACCAATATCGCACTGCTTCGTTTGAGGGGCTGAAAGAAGGGATCAGGCTAGCAAGGCTGGTCTCGAAAACATGGAGGAAGGTGCCAGTTTTATCCTCAGGTTACCAAGCGAGGTGCAATTGAAGATCCTTGACATGGCTGAAGATTCTGAGGCCAACAGACGATGTTACGAATTGTTTCCACTCGGTCCTATTTGGGCCAGGTGCAGGTGGGCCAAGCTCGCTGTTGTTAGCCGATTGTCACCAGCGCCTATAAGTCCTTTTATCAGCTAGGAAGTTTATGTGATCAAGGCAGATGATTTTATCGTTGATCCTGTATGTAGGTGCTTGTAATTGTCCGTTGACTTGGACCTTGACGAATGTTAGCACAACCTGGCTGTTTGGTTGTTCATGCAATGACGTTGGTCTACCAATCTTGAAAATAGTATTTGGGGGCTGAGCGTAACAACCATGACCAATGCCTTCAAGACAAAGTTGTAGATGTTGATCATCCTACTAAGCGGATGCCCTTCAACCCTGATATCTAACCATGCTTCCCTTGCAGCTTGGTTTGCAAACAGTGGCGTGACTTGTTTGAGAGTCGCCATCCTTGGCCTCATTTGACCCTCCGGATCACAAACCGAGCTGCATTCAGGTCTGATGGAGAGAAGCAGAGCAGATTGATAGAATGCATGCTGCGGTTCCTTCCAATATGCATCAACAAGATTGAAAGTTTGAAGTTCGGCTGCGACGAACTGGACGAGAGCAAAATGGTGGAAATCATGCATCAGGCTGGACCGGTCTTGAAGAAAGTCGATTTTAGCTCCCCGGTAAGTTTGCCGTGTATATTCTCAGGTTCCAACATCCTTCGCACATTCATAACCTGGGTTTCAGGGCTTGTAGCATTCGATGGTCGTTCTCTCCTGATGATCAGAAACCACTATCTCCTTCCGAATAACCGGGCCTATTGCACTTTTATTCCTTTTGAATAAACACAGCAGTTGCATGCTCGCAGACTATTTGGTTACTGAACACTTGGAAAGGTCTCGTCAAGTAGATACGAATCCAGTGATTATGAGTGTCTTACAGGGCCGCCAATTCGGACCTGGTATGGTCGATTGGTTCCGAAACTCTCCCCACATCAGAGAAGTGCACACAGCGTACAGCAAGCCGCGCTTGGAGCATATGCCGCCCTACCTGGAGGTCGCGAACTTCTCGAGTGCCACTCACATTACACCAGAGGGTTTGGAACGGCTTGCTGCCATCAGAAACTTGAAGTTAAGCTCCTGCTCCAGGGCCGCAAACGGTGCAAGTTTTGGGGTGACGCTGAAGCTCGAAAAAGCCAACGCATGGCATTGATGCAACAACCACCAGCTCTGATCAGGTTTTGCCGTCAAGCGCGCAAGCCATAGCCTCCCTCTCTCTGCTTCTCGAGTGCTCAGACTGCTCTACTTGCGTGTTCCAGAGTAATTTAACATGGTGCACTAAAGCACGTCTCCTTCCATAATGAAACGTCACGAGATTACCGTTGCTGACCGTTCATTACGACCAGGTACTCAAACTGCAACCATATGTGACCGGTTCGGAATACCCTGAGGTCCTTGACTGCCACGCGCACATCGACGACCTTGCCGTGCTTTCTCAATTGGTCAACTTGGAGGAGCTCGAGATCATACGCGTAGTCATCTACTCTGTTCCCGACTGGCTTGGAAATTTGTCGCGCCTGAAAGTGAGTGTCAAAACAATCTAGTCTTGGAAATGCTGTTCGGTTACATACGAAGATGTTGATTGTCGAACAAGTTCAGATTTGATTGTTCACAAGTCCCAAGCTTTGAATCTAGTGGCCTATTTAGTGGATCCCTTGTGAGAATTCGGCTTGTGTTCGTGAGGTATGATGATGCTCATTTGGAGCAGATTGCGTGGATCAGGGCACGTCTGTTTCGAAGCTTGCAGGCGCTTTTACCAGATTTTGAGGATCTAAGTTTCTCACATTGGTCGATCGAATCAGCTAGGAAAGACTCGTCAAATCAAGTTCATAAAAGTCCCACCCATTCGCTGTCGTAGGGCCCCGACACCCACTCATCGTTCAAGAGATGATATCAAATAACGAAGCTGCGGTCATAAAATCCTCGTGTGCTTTGTCTTTTCCATCAGGCAGTGTACCTGAGCAAGTTCGTGCCACATCACGCCCATCCTTACTTCAACCTGCACCGTCTGGCCCACATCCAGCAGCTCAAGCTTCGTTTCGTGAACGAGATTCCCACCGAACTCGCTGCCCTTTCCAATCTCGAACTCCTCATGATGGACGCCTGGCGCTCCGAGCTGGACTTTGGCTCCCTGAGCACGTGCCCGAAGCTTAAGGTCATCACGATCGACAGCAGTAGGAACCTGCAGAGCGGCTACATGACAATCAAGGGTTTGGAGAAGGTTCCGAATCTGGAGGCATTCCAGTATTTGCCAGAGCATTTGAACGGAGACATCGTGCTGGGAGAGGGCGGCCTGATCAACTTGAAGAATTTTGTTGCCACCGCGGGAGCAGGGCGTTTGCTGCTTGAGGGATCCCCCCAGGCTTTTGAAAGATTGTGCCACGGGGCAAAGAAGATCGTAATCAGCATGCATGACAAGAGTGCGACCGATGAGAAAATCAAGGTGGGGATTCAGGGCATACTCCGAGCGGCGCGAGCCTCGGTGTGAACATGGAACCAAGCATGGGCTTTGGCGGATTAATCACCTCCACACATCCGGTGCTTGGGAAAGGCTCAATCCTCCAAATCGACAATTCAGGGCAGTACTTGAAAGATTTAGACAATCTGTAAGTTTGTTCAAGGTGATGCACTGAAACTGTTGCATGAAGCGTACGTACGCGTTAACGCGGCAGGATGCGGCTTTCAATTGTTGACAGCAGACTCCAGGTGGACTGTCACATGTGGTACCAAGACGCAAGCTGACTATTAATTTATCAGTTCAATTCGTGGTCTAGATCTAGGCACTTGATTGCGCAAGATGTATGAAATTGCAAATCTGCTTCTACTGATATCCATGCTTGCAAAGGGCTACCTGAGGTCGGACTCACCTGCGTTCCCCTCATCGAGCTTCGTACAGCAATATTCTACATATAGGACATAACACCACGAGTTCCGTCGCAACCAGATCATGTGTCCGGAGGAACATGCTTTGTACGTGAACAGTGCGTGCAATTGCAGCACTCAATCGAAGTGACTGCATTCTGTTCCAAGCACACCGGATCCGAAATATAGGGCATGAAGACTCAAATATGCATGAGCTAATTGAGAATTAATGCGACATTCTTGGTGAGACTGAACTCTATGCATCGAAGGAACTGCGTGCTTGTAGCCAAACTTCTTTATACATCCATTTTTCTCGACAGGATATAGCCGCAGGCTTCATTTTGACACGTACATATGTTCCAGGCCTCCCGGGGCGCTGCTACTATGGTCCGCACTGTACAAGGCTTAATGTACACTGGCCACAGACCTGACAATGCTTTCCCGTCCACCAGTGAAAGCAACGGCGTAATCATCGACTGTAAGCTGGCTGATAGAAACCAAGTTCGCTTGAGCGACTCGAATGATGAAGCTTCACTTCACATGGTCTTTTCTAGCTTGGCTTGTTATCCTCGATCACCGTCCGGGTGACGGTGGTGATCCAGCCGTCAGCCTGGAGATCTTACAGACAAAAGTCACTTTTGTACTTTAGACGCGCTACCTCCTTTCCGCTATCTCTGGTGTGCCAGGCGACGTGTCCCCATCAGAGACCACCACTGCCCCCGCTTCGTCGCCTGGGGCCCGTCTCCGCACCAACCGCCTGGCCTCGCCCCCGTGCTTCTGCTCACCCCCCGAGTCGCTCGCCTGCCCCTTCTTCCGGAGCAGCTCCCAGTACGCCGCGGGCTGCCGTCCCGGCCCGGCCTCTGCCGGCGCCGAGCTGCCCCTCCGGGCCCGCACCCGCCACCCGGCCTGCTCCTCGTCCTCACTGTTTCCTCCACTGACCTCGTCTTCAACTAGCGCACCGGCCAGACTATTCTCGTATCCTCTTTCGTGGGGGCTTTCTTCCGACGGCGCCGGCCAAGCCATCGGCGATGTGCTTGCGTCCTGACCTGCGTCTTGCGAACGGTCGGTTTCCTTCGCCGGCGCTGGAGCCTCCTCGAAGCTCCACAGCTCCGCGCTTTGCGGCTCGAGCGCCTCCCCCGACAGCAGGTCCACGACATCGATGCGCTCCGCTGAGCGCCGCCGTCCTGCGTCGTCGCGGTCACTCTCTCTCCACCCCGTGCGGATCGAACTTGCCAACTTTTCCGACGGCTGCATCGAAACAAAAGGCCCCAAAAGGTCGTCCTCCTCCCGTCCTAACTGCACCTTCGCCACCCCCACTGTGCTGCCTGCACCTCCCGTCTCCTTCACTAACCTCTGCCCGCCCTCCGAGCTTTCCTTGGAAACAGTTGGTGCGATCGCGTGTACCCTTTCTTTCTGAGTCTCCGCTGCCGCTTGCTTTCCGACTTTCTCCATCAATTGCCCGGCCCCGTTTCCCACTGCCCGCTGTTCGTTCTCCTCCCCCTCCCCTGAAGACGAGAGCTCTTCCGACGAGAACCCGGGGGCCTGCGGCTGGGGCGGGTGGCGCGCCGCATGGGAGGGGCGGGGACCCCGGGTGCGCACAAAGTGCAGCTTCTTGCCCAGCCCCGACCCGGAGACAGCAATCGGGTCGCCCATGCGGACCAGCAGGTGAGTCAGCTTCAGCGCGCCGTACTCGGCCAGGAAGAGGGGCCTGCCACAGAAAACCCCACACATTTAACCAGCAACGAAAGGGTTCAGAAATAGCAACGAAACGTTGCGGTCACAGGAGGGACTGTGAAGGCATGAAGAGGCACAATCCCCGTAGGAGAGACAGTAGGAATGGTCCACCAGATGTAAAGAATAGGCCCGATAATGTCAGAGCTACAATGACACAATGGAGAAACGAGGCCACATTCAGACAGGTCATAGATATCTGGTTTTAGGTTACTCTCAGCTACGCTCATACAGCGCTTCCTACATGTCTAAATTGCTTTAGTAGAAGCCGAACATGGCCAAAGCCCACACCTTGTACCTTCACAGCGATTTCCCCCCACCTGCCATACACCTTGCGATACTCGGTGGGCACTTTGACGAGGTCCAGCGGCCCCCCGTTGCGTGACAGCAGGTCCACCAGCTGCGCCTTCAGCCCCTGCAAATCCCCCGGCCGCGCCCACTCCCCGTCACCGCTCGATTCAGGCACGCTCCGCACGGGCTGTGGTCTCCCCTTCTCACTGCCCTCAAGTACGTACCCCCTGCCAGAGTCAGCCTCGATTGCTGCCCAGGCGACTCCACCCCGTTTTGCTTCGCTGAGGAGGTTGTGGTGAAAGGGATTTGTCTTCGGATTTCCCTCAGGAAGATCCCCTTGGGGTGCCGCAAGGCCCTCGCTCTGGGCAGGGTGTCCGTTGAAAGGCGCGCCTGACGGGGGCGATCCGTCAACCGTTGAAGCGGAGCGGAGGAGAGCAGCAGTCGGAATGAGCCGCTGCTGGGGTGCGTTTGATGGCTGCGGACCGATCCAGGTGCGAGACGGGTGGCGTGCCGCAGTGCCCCGTACCCAAGGGGGTGTCTGTGTAAAGGCAGGGCTGCCGGGGAAGGAGAAGGGCGGAAGGGGAGAACCTGAATGACCAGGAGACATGGTCAGTAAGAGTTCGCTTCGTCCGGCCGTCACCACTACCGCGACACGACAACACAGGGGAGGCATCTGCGAACAATACCACGAAAGCTGGTAGCAAATCCTCTGAAGAACTTCAAAAGCACCGGCAAATCGGACCCGACCCAACCCGTAACATCTTCCAGCCATAACCAGAGGGAAACTGCTCACCCTCATTCGGTGCTCCTGATGCAGGCCCCGCATCCCCACTATAGTCTGGACTGTGGGCCGGCAACAAGCCCTGCCCCCGCGCAAGAGCCGGCCACTGCCACACACAGCTGGCGGCATTGGACAGCGCCAGCGACACGCCTTGCCCCGTGCCAGCCCCATGCGCCAGCACAACGGTGTACCCTCGCTGACTCAGCTTGTGCAGCGCAGCTGAGAAATCAACGTCGCCCTGGCCACGTAACAGTATAAATGTGAGTAAAAACCAGACTAGCAGTGCTTGGCTCAAGGCAACAACGTAATGGTGGATCGCCCTAAGTAACCAAGTAAGATGAAAAAGAGCTGCAGGCATGAACGACCGTCCAAAAAGGTATACACGCAACCGGGTCAAATAGTCAAAGTAGGGCCAAGGAAACCTACCGAAATGAGGAAGATAGTCGAGGGGGGCGGGTGATCAATTGCAAACCTGAAGGCAACAAGCATCCATCATCAAAAGATGACTAAGCCTCTCAACACCTTCCTTTCGTTTTAACCGCACCTGCCCTTGTTGAGACTGCCTGATTCAAGCCTGGTCAATGTACTGCATATTGCAAGGCGGAAGAGCAGACACAATCCTTTCATGACAAGTGTCAAGAGAAGGGCTTCGAACAAAGTAACTTAGTAGTCAAAGAGCGATGCTTACAAGAAGAGGTCCACTAAGATGGCCTTGTCTGCTGCATCTTTACGACCGCTGGGCACGTCAATCAGATTCACGCCCGTGCGCTGGCAGCCCTCCCGCAGCTTTCGGGGGAACTGCACATTTTAAAAGCTTGTCACTGACGTTGAAAAGCACACAAACTGCTCTAGCTCTGCCCACAGGTCCTCTCCTTCTGAGAGACTCTTTCTGATATGGTCTTCTGGAAAACGAGGCTACCAAAGAATACACAGAATTCTTTCGAGTTTGCGGTTTTTGAAGCCTGTCCACCAGAAGGTGCCCATGCACGAGGCTGATAAAGACAGCAGCCAGCACCTGATTGAAATCTCCATACGCAGAGAACACTGTGACGGGTCCGCCGACGATCGGGTGTGTCTTCAGCGCCAAGCAGATGTTAACAGCCACGTCCTCAGACCGCACGTCGTTTGGCACCGGGCAATTCTGCACAGCACAAAAACTTTTGCTTTAGACAGTGGAGATATGGGTTGCTTTAAGTGATCGAGTGTCATGAATAGACTCAAGATCAAGAAACAAAGGTTGTGCTAAAGCTTCTCTCAAAGTTTGCCCCAGGGGAATAAGCAACAGAGTGCTTCTGTAGCAACACAGGTGCTTCCTCAAGTGGAGATGTTGATATAAAAGGACACCCAAGAATGCTGGCAAAGAAAAACAGCAAGCCCTTCTCACCTCTATGTCCCAAAGAAGCCCAACAGGCTGCCTCGCCATCCGGTCCGATCCAGCCATAGCCATTGTTTCCCAACACTTTTCGAAAGGACGATTCTGATGCAGAACGTCTGAGGTGCCTTATCACAGAGAAACCTATATGCTTATCTGTGGCAAGAGGTGACCAAGAAACTTGCTTGTCAGAAACAACAAAAAATTTACTGAGATATCCGGGCCACTTCACAAGCTTACTACCGCCTGTCTAACGAGCCCAGGGCCGCAACAAACGGTGCCTGGCAAATGCTGCCCCTTATAAAACTTCAGAAAGCGTCTGCAACGCTTCCCTCACGTCCCAGCTCCCTACCAGTATTTGTACTACGGAACTTCTGCTCCCTCTCTCTCTGCTGGCACCCAATGTTGCCAGTGCAGTCTGCAGCACAGGACTGTACAGGTGCGCATGTGCTCCTCCTCCCTTCTTCCCGAACCAACCCAGACTCACGGCCCGTTTTGAGAAAACCTCTCGAAACACCAATTTGAAAGTTTGAGTAAACCTCTCAAAATACGGCGATCAATTTTGGACAAATCGTTCGTATCCGGTCGGGTCATTTTGGAGAAAATGCTCAAAACTGCGTCGTGCGATACGAACAAATTGTTCAAATTTGCGACCGGGTCCGTCCGGGTCTGCCGTCGCGACGTACGGGTAGTTTTCAAGAGATCTCCACCGTCGATGTAGGTGGACCATCGCGACCCACAACATTGATCGCGAAGACCGCCGGCATCGCGGTACATAAAGGACGGTACCCTTATGGGTGGTTGGTCGGGGCGGCGGGCGACCGCAACTTCCCGGGGACAACGGACACTTCCCTCTGGACTAGTAGTTTAGGGACCGTGGCACCCGAGAAGCAACCGGGCCCTGCCTGTGACATTAAGGTCTCGCGGGCAACCCTGGGACAACCGGGCACTTCCCAAAAGCAACCGGGCCTTCCCGCTTTAGGGTTACACCACTGCGAGTGACAACCGAGCAAGTCCTTTTAGTTTTAGTGTGTGCCCGGGGCTTCCACAAATTCGAACCTTTTCTTCGAATGGCGCAGCTAGAATACGAGCGATTTGATCAAAACTCGATCGGCTATTTCGAGCGATTTGTTCAAAACCCGGCCGGCACTTTTGAGCATTTTGTCCAAACCGACACGGCTGGTGTTTTGAGAGGTTTTCTCAAAACGGGCGTGAGACTGGGTTGCCCGAACTGAGCTCGAGAGTGACGTGGGCACACGGCTTGACTTCAAGGTGACGTCCCTTCAGCCGCGTTACAGAGACCAAGGAAACGCAAGGTGGGCGCCACGCCGACAAAAGCTGGGCGAGTTGCTGTAACGCTAGACACGTTATGTGTGATCGAGGGATGATCAAGCGTGCTGCTCTAAAACCCTAAACCTCTGGAAAAGGGCTGGAAACCATGCATGACCAGCTTCTGGGTTTCACTTTAGATGCATGCGCGCTCAGTTCCATTATACTGAAAGTAACGTTCCTTCATATTGGCATTGCATTTTTGGCTGATTCCATTATACTGAGAGTACGTTCCTTCATATTGGAATTGCATTTCTAGCTGATTGCACCTCGCTCGCCAGCGCAATGCAGGAAGCAGGGTCGCAGCAATCTGGGGGCGGCTGCAAGATTCGTGTCATGACATGGAATGTGAACGGCCTGTCCCGTATCCTTAAGAGCCGCTTCACCAGTCTTGAAAACATGCTGAACACGCTGCACGCAGGTGAGTAGCAGGGCGTGGTCCTTGTTTTTACTTTGTGTAGTCAATCACATAGTGCAGAGGATCATAAGTTGCACGAGCTTGCCCTGCGCTCTCAGGTCTATTTTCGTTCGGCTTAGTATATGGCTCTCCATTGATGTGCGGCAGAGGCAGACGACAGGAAGAAAGCCAGTGAGCAGCTACTCTGGGGCCGCTTGCCACTGAGGATGGAAAGAGGTCCAAAGTTTGCCAAGGCCCAAAGATGCTGACGTGTATTTGTCCCCTGTTTGCATGCAGACATTGTTTGTCTCCAAGAGACCAAGTTATCCAAGGCAGACATGGAGCGCTTTGAGCAGCTGGCCGTCGTGCCGGGCTGGTGAGGGGGCGCCTACGTCTTTGAAACCCGCCAATTGAGTGCACTTATGGGACTGAAAAGGTTTTGGCCCTCTTGAGGAAGCGTCTGGTTCGAAGCAATTGAGAGTGGTTCAGATATCAGTGGGAAGCCTGTGGACATATAATCTCAAGACTAGTATGTGTCTCATGCTCCTTGCAAGCAGTCAAAAGACAAATTGGGTGCGTTACACTCGGAGGTTAGCCAGCAGGGCAACAACTAGATAGCTTGAAAGCACAAAAACCAGGTGGGGCAAGCACGACCATGCCCCTACATCCAGACAAGCAGAAAGAACCGGGCGCGTCGTTATGCTCACTCTGGGTTGCTGACAGCCTGTTGTTTGTGGCAGGCAGTCCTTTTTCAGTTTCTGCACCTACCGTGGCGGCTACGCTGGTACCGCCACCTTCTGCCAAGAATCCCTTGCCCCGGTGGCAGCCGAATCAGGCCTAACGGGGCCTGCAACCCAGGGTAACAAGCCGCCAGGGGCGACAGTGGACTTCCCGGACGATGAGGCGTTCTGGAACAAGTAAGCTGGGTTTGAGACTGGGCTGATTTCGGCTCGCCCCAAGTCTCTAAAAGCATCAGAGTAGTGCAATAGTGAAGGAATCTTGCTATACAAAGTTTGTTTTGCAAAAGACATCAATTGTTAAGTTTGTCGGTTGCTTGGATCTTGTAAGAGAGTAAGTCAGGCCCTCATTCCCCTCATGGATCCTCTTCTCAGGAAAGTCGAAGACAGGAGGAGACCAACCAGAGAGGCTTCTTTCATGCTCTGTCGCCCAAGTGATGAAATAAGGTACTGACGTCACATCAGCGGACTGCAGGTACGATTCTGCTGAGCTTGCGTTGATGGACAGTCAAGGGCGCTGCGTCATCACCGACCACTCCGCCCTGGTGGTCTTCAACGTGTAGGTAAACTTGCCAGCGTCTATATCGCAATCTGTCTCTTCTGAGTTGTGCTCTCTTCGGCTTTGGGTCGATGAAAGTTTGACCCGATGTGGGCCTTAAAATGCTCAAGATAGCGCTTTTCTAATTCAAATTAGCACGCTGAAAGACGTCAACGCACGGGCCGTCTTGCTGTGGGCTGGCCTTGTTCCCTCTCCTACCTTGCCCGAGTCATTTTCCTTTCTTCCCGCAGGTACGGCCTGGCTGTGACCGCCCAGGACAGCCCACGCTTTGCCATGAAGCTTCACATGTACGAGGTGAGGCAGCCTCCAACGTGCTCTGCGGTTTTACCATGATCAACCGATGCATTCTTACACATCCCAACTTATCTTCGACTTCCAAGTCTAGTTCTTGCCGCACATATTCCTCTCCGATCCCAAGCCTCGCTTCGATTTCGCTCTCAATCTCGCTCACACTCCTGCCCGTCCTGATGTGCATAAACGTTTGAATAATTCTTCCATATGCGTCTTCTTTATGGATACTGCAGATTCTGCAACGAAGGGTAGAGGCCCTCGTGGCGAAGGGGCGGGCGGTGCTGGTGGTGGGCGACTTGAACATCGCGGTGGCACTTGAGGATCACTGCGACTACGCGGACGCCCGCCCCAGCGTCCAGAGCTCTTTTCTGGACGGCCGGCCGGACAGGACGCACCTGCAGGCACTGCTCGCCGCAGCGGGGGGTCCCCTCTCCGATCTGTACAGGTAGAGAGAAAGTTCCGCCGAGGTTTTTGTTCGTCAGTCCGGGGTATGGATCCTCTTTCCGGGGTATGGATCCTCCTGATGTCGATGACAGAAACATTGACTCAAAGGTTCTGCGAGACACGGCCGATTCCGAGAAACGGCCCGCAAGATCCTTGCGACGATGCCTCAGCTGACAGGGCGTGGTTCGGAATAATTACCCGCTTCCCTACATGAAAACCGTTTGACCATCGCTGTTGGCAAAAACCAGAGTGTCCAAATCTGCCTGCGATTGCAACTGATAGGCGTTGGGCGGTCGTGCAGGCAGCACCACGTGGGCGAGCGCTACTCGTACACGGTGTGGGGGGGTGCGGGGGCCCTGACCGGCAGCAGGCCTCGCAGCAGGGGGTCCCGCGTGGACTACATCCTGGGGGGGGGCAAGCTGCAGGTCAGCGGTAACCTGTTCGCGTCTTTTCGATACGTCTTTGCCTGGCCGTGAAGCATATTCTGTTCCATTTGGGCATATCGGCTCACCAGTAGTGGGGGCGGCCTCGAGAGAGAAGTAGACGCTGTAAAGTGGGTCTGCCATTTTCTCTGCAAGAGACTGAGACTCACAGCACCCGAGCGCCTCAAAATAGTACGAGGCCTAAAAAGACGGTGTTGATACGTTAAAACTTGTTCATCTACGCCCGTCAGTGTCTGTCACTCGGGTCATTGTATACGCTATGATGATTGCAGGGTAGCCCTCTGGCTGCTGCCTGCACTGCCTCGGGGATTGATGCCCAGCTGTTGGGTTCCGACCACGCCCCGGTGTGGGCCGACATCAATCTTCCGGCTTCCGCTTTCGCCTCTTCCGGCGAGGAAGGAGCGGAGCAGGCCATCCTGCCACTCGACTCGCGGACTATCGCACGAGCTGGTAAGATGTAGACGCCTCGCATGTATGATCAACTCTTTCAACATTACGCTATGTAAGATAGGGCTGATTCGTCGTCGTTGCTTGTGGTGCAATCTGATATCTGAGCCGATTGTCGTACCTCACAGAGGAGGGCCTGTCATGTGAGTAGGGAGTCTGACCGTCTCTTTTAGATGTGTATCTTCGTGATGGAGAAAAGCAGCGTTTGCCAAACGCTTGACAAGTGATTCGTGGGTTGGTGGCAGGTCGATCAAGCAGACCGACTCGTCTCGAGAGTTGGCTTCAAACGCCGAAGGCCCAAGGGCGCAAGCGGAAAGCTAGTCCGCTGGAGGAAACACCGTCTCCTCCAAGTAGGCGGGAAGAAACAGAGTAAGGGAAGGATGAATGTCCCACTTTTGGACGGTTTCGACACAATGCAGACACCATGCGCGCAGATGCGAATACGAGATGCGATTCTCACGTATACATATGACTTCCGACCTTGCTGTCTGCACACTGACCATTCCTTTGTGACCACTGTTGACCATTTCCTTTGTGACCACTGTTGCCCAATGCCCCTTTCAACGTGAGTCGTTGCAATATCGCAACATTCTGCCTGACGGTCAACTTCTGAAGATATATGCTTTCTTCCTGATATGGCGTAGACTACCTGAGACCGCCATGGACAGCATGGCGTACATGGACAATAGGTTCGCAAATTTGGTCTTTCCAAGTGTACCAACTTATGGCCAGAAGTCGTCTACCTTCAATTGAACTACAAACCCAAAGATGAACGTCCAGATTCTTATGTTTCTATTAGCAGCATCTATGCGGGTTGTACGTGCTACGGTGTTCATTGATTTATTATTTTACCGTAATAGTGCAGCCGGGTTACAATAACTCAGCATAATCTGCTTATGTCAAGTAAGCCAATGCTATACGCCTGCTGCGGTGTTTGTTGGCTTTGCCACCAATGGAAGGAGGTCACTAGTTCTGTGCCTATATGAGCCATCGCCAACGCGTCGGCCCCGCGGCTTCCACATGCTAAATGAAGAATCTAAGCTGTACGTGGCGATTGAAGGCGATCATTCTTACAAGACCAGCTTACGCATCTTGCAAGTTTCTGGTTTTTAAACTCTCGAATGATTTTGCTTGTCAAGCTGGCTAATTGAGCTTTGCACTATACCGTAGTACGATGGGGCATGATGCAACAATCACAACAACAGAACAAGCAGAACATTCTCTGGACGAGGCGGCATCCAGACTCCAGCAAACAAGTTACAACGCCATAGGTATGATGATTGACGGATGACTCCTTCCTTACCCAACTTCGATACAGTTGTCGCGAATAGCAGCCGTCAGATGAGTCACATGCCTGCTTTTATGTACCCGCCGTGGCTGTCACACCGTCCATTTTCTACCCTCCGGATGTCATCATCATGCATCATGCCAACCTGCATAGGTGTACAGCTGTACCGGCCAACCGGCACATGCATCATTCATCGTGCTGCAGGCTGCAAAGCCTGTAATGTGCAGCAGAGCTGGGGCGCATGAGCCTGCCATGGAGGCCAAGGCGATATGATTCTCGTGTGCTGGGCAATGAAGGAAAGATCGCTTGCAACAGGCACGGCATTGCTGATATTTTCTGTAGATGAACGTGTTTCGACCATCCCTGTCACTTCCATGGAAGACCGACAATAATGGCGGCAACAGCATTGCCAATGTAATGCAGGTTGTTTGGGTGTTTGATGTGAACACAGTGCAACCAGCTCAGGAAGGAGCGTTCAGCGCGTCGAAGGCATAAGCATCCAAAATGGCACCAGCACCGCGGGATGAGAGGCTGATCAGGGCGCTTCAAGCCCGGGCGGCCTTGGCATCTGCACAGAATAATATTCGGAAGAGTGCGAGCTATCAGAAAGCGGTTGAGAAACTGACTGCCCACAGGCGGCCAATAACTAGTGCGATGGAGATTGGCATGGTGAAAGGGATTGGAGTCCAGATTAAGAAGCTACTTGAGAAGGTTTACAATGGGGATGTGGAAGAAATACCCCCAGAAGCTGAAGAGGCAATGGAATACGGAGACTTGCCCATTCCCCAGGTAAGAAAATGGAGGACTTGGGCAAGAAGGAGCAGAGGGCAATTCCACTTACATGAGGTGAAACTGTAAAGAAACTGGAGGCACCTGCTGTTCAGTAGATGTAACATCCATGTAGCAAGCATGAAAGAGGGTCCCAATTGTCTCGTTGTCTGGTTGTCTGCTCATCTCGTTGTTGTGAGCCTTGAGGCTAACTTTTTGCTGCTGCCCAGTTGCCCCGTACATTCAAATCAGGAGCCTCTACATCGCCCTCTGTTTTGAAGCAGGAGCCCTCTCCTGCATCCTTCCGTCGCCTTGTGCTGGGGCAATCTGAAGGGCCTTTTGAATGCAGCAAAGTCAAATAGCCCTGGGCGTTCCTTTGCTTGCCATGTGCCTCCTGTCTCTTGGTATGTGCATCCTATCAACAGTTTTCTACGTTCGATCTCTCTTGACCTCTTTCGTCAAAGGGTGGAGCATTGACCCATAAAAGCTGCGTACCGCCCACAGGGTTTCGCCTACATTCCTGGCCCCAACACTGGCGCCCGTGCCATTCTCATTGCCATGTTTGGTGAAACAAAGAGACCCGGATATCCAGGCTTCCTGATGAAAGATCAAATCCAGGCGGCAGCTACAGCAACAGGTGACTTTGACCATCCTTTAAGCTGTACAAGATGAAGGAATACGTCTCGGGTGTTTGTCAGTGCTTTCTCTGTTGAAAAGGTGCTGTTGTGTTTTCTTGTGCGCTTCTATCATCATATCCAAAGAAACTATCAAAGTAGATATCTGACCCCGTGTACGTTTCTGCAGGAATCAGCAACACCTCAATGTATCCGCAGCCCAATGTGGGCCGCTTCTACAGTGGTTGGGACGGGATCAGAACGCTGGAAGAGAACGGCCTGGTTCTCAGAACCAAACATGGTAAAAAGGTCTCCTTCACTTTTGATTCTTGGATATAGCTGGACGTATGCGTATTCTGCAGACCACTCTCAACCACAAATAGCTGCTTAAAGAACATCTCATCACATTTGCGTGTCTGATTAATATGAGGCATTACTTTTCAACAACGAAGGGGCACTCCAACTGAGCTGTGATCGCAGAGATACAAGAGAGCATCTGGTTGAAGTAAGAGGTCTGATATGAAACAGCTGATTGCTGCAGGGGTTTGAATGACGACAATGAAATCACTGTTTTGTGCTTTCTATGAATGCGGACCTCTTGGTTGCATTGATGCTCGAATCAGTGTCTATTCCTGGACACTGTACTGAGAAGTCACCAGTACAGAGTCCCTAATGAACGCTTATGGAATCAGCTGCTTACACAGGTACAGATGACTAGAAAGTGTCTTCCCACAACGTTGCCCGTCACATCCAACATATAAAAGGTGACCCCCCCCCAAAAATGGAGGAAAAAGAAGAAATCGCAATATGCTGTTGCTTTGCAGGTATGGGGGTTAAGGAGCAGTTCCGCCTGACAGACCAGGGCCGGCAGCTTGCATACTTCCTGGAGGGAGAGCTGGGCCTACAACAAGGGGGCCGACAAGATGGCGGGGTCGCACTCCCCCAAGACTTCTCTCCCGCGCACCGCCGTCTCTCAGGTCACTGTCAGGGGCGCCAGGCGGGGGAAGGCGGCTTTCCAGAGGTCATGATCGGCCGGGGTCGAGAAATTGAGATGGGCAGCAACTTGCAACAAGTGGAAGAGGTTGAAGCGGCCACCGGAGAGGGCTTCCGCCTGTACAAGGCGGTGTGCAAGAGCAGCAGTGCGGTGAGGAAAAAGTACGCAGTGCAACTTCATGTCAGGGTGACACTTGCTCGAGACGCGGAGGTGGAGCAGGCAGAGGCCCTGGGGCGAGTTTTCGCGGGCAGGAGGCCGGAGCTGGTGGCACGGCTCAAAGAGATGGGCTTCAGCGAGGATCGGGTGTTGGCGGCTCTGGCGGCCACCGGAGCTGATGAGGCAGCCGCTGTGCAGATGCTAGTGGATGGGGCAAGCATGCAACGTGACGAAAGTGGGACAGCAGCGCCAGGTGGCGTCACCCAGATGGTGGTAGTCAGGAGCGAGTGCGCTTGCCCCGAGGGGCGGTCGTCTCACGGCAAGTGCAAGCATGCGGCCGCCCTGTTTTTGAGAGTGGACGCCCACCTGCGGAGCGGGGCGGAGCTGGATCGGCCGGAGCCCGGTAAGAAGAAGACGCCCAGGAAGAAGCGAGAAAACGGGGATGGTGGGTTGCAAGCGAAAACCGCGCCCAAGAGGCGAAAAAGCGGAGGAGGGGCGGAGGCGCCTCTGCCTAGGGAAGAGGATCGCAGCCTGGGTGCAATTGCTGCACAGCTGGCGAAGTCGGTGGGCTCACCAATAACGCCTCCAAAGCACAAGGACGTGGCGCGCACGCCTGTCGGGGCCAGCCCGCGGGAGATGGCGGCCCAGGCGGCCTTTGAACGGGCAGCCATGCAGGCGTCCCTCCGGAAAGACTCCCCGACGAGAGCGCCGCCGGTGGAGAAGGGGACGGGGCAACGGAATGTGGACTTTGTCGATCTTGAGGGAGGGCTGGGCCGCGCTCACGAGCGGCACGAGAGCGATCAGGGGGTTAGACGGGCGGTCTCTGCCAACAAAGAGTCGCGCTCAGAGACTTGGAAAGGGAAGGAAGCAGCCCGAGATGCGTTGCATGGTAGTATGCTTAACTTGGGCCGAGCGACCCCCGGAAAAGGCAAGGCGGTGGCCTTTGTCGACTTGGACAGCGATTGTGACGACCCGCCGGGGCAGCGGGATGCTGACTCCGAGGAGGACGCCGCTCTCCTCTCAGTGGACTGGAAGAGCCCCAGAGCCAGCTGGGGTAGCGGGTGGAGCAGCGCCGCTACTCCCGCATCAGATCACCGAGAGAAGAGCGGAGGGCGGCGTGGCGAGGAGGCTGGGCGGGGCCGATCGCTTGATCTGGACTGGCTGACAGGCGACAACGCGCCAGATCCTGCCGAGCTTGACAGGCTCGTGGATACGGTGACTGCCACAGCGGAGCCCGGGAGTGCGCCCTCGGCGAGTGGTAGGAAGCAAGGTGGCGAAGTGGGCGGCGTGCGTCGCGTGACGGTCGTAGTTGATGAGACGGAGCGGCAGACCAACAGCAACCCGAACTCGGTGTACCTGGAGCTGCATCGCCAGCACGAAGCGCTGCATGCGGTGGCCGGCGTGGCGCTGGCGGCGGAGAAGCACAAGCTGGAGACGGGGGACTACCTTTGGCTGGCAGAGACGGACGAAGGCAGGTGAGGACTCGATGCTTGCATCAAGCAGGGTTTGGACACAAGCTTCCGAATCCATGGGTTGTTACAAGTCATGTGAAAGTTAATTTGTACTCTTGTTCGATGAAGGCATCATTCCATGAATACCTGTCGGCTGCCCGTCCAAAGTGCATGGGTGGGATTATTCGACTCAAGGGCAAAGAGTTTTGGCGGAATTACCATTATCTCGCGGCTTCGAAGGCTTTCGTTCGAGATTCTGGTTGGACGAGTGTGGGTCTTGACGGAAGCATGCAACTGTTAATCAAGGTTACTCGCGTCCCGTGTGACTCGTTTAGCTTCTGCTATATGTGCTAGCGTGCAAACAGTCTGACAGGTCTGAGTCTCCCCCTCCTTCGATACTGACGTTCAACCACCGTGGCTTCATTCGATAAGATGCTTTGTTGCAAAAATCCACGACTCGCTGACACTTCTCGGCTCAAGGAAGCCCAGCTCGGCTGCAGACTTCTCCTGAATGACCAACCACTCGTTGCACGAACTCCGAAGGAAACACGAACATAGGATGGCAACAACTGGCCCTCGACTGACAAATTGATCCTCTATTATGCACGGTCCGTTTGCAGTCGGTCCTAGAGCCGAATGAACACCCGTTTGAGTCTAGCCCAACTGACAGTCCGACTCAATCGAACGAGTACACTTGTAACGAGGAGACTTTGGTTGGACCGGCAAATCTGTTTGTGATGAGAAGTGACGACTCTGCTTCATGTGCAGTTTCGTTCTCGACACGGTCATCGAGCGCAAGACGATGTCCGACTTGGTCACCCGGTCGGTCACGAACGCCCACCTGAAGCAGATCCAAAAGATGCGCGCCAGCGGACTGCCGCACGTGTGCCTCTTACTCGAAGGAGAGTTTCGGTGAGCGCCTGCCTGCAGTCCCTCGGGTCTGTCGCCTGGTTTCCGCACAAGGGTTTGTTTGAATCTTGCTGCGAGTTGCCTTCTAGAGCAGATGCAAAGGTCGAGCTTCTTTCCAACACCTGGAAACTCAAGATGGTCAGGTGCTGGAGTGAAGGACGTGCTGATCCCCCGGTCCTGTAAGCTGTCGGGCCCGAGCACAACCCTCGACGACCTCGGTCAACGTGGAGGTTCAAGACTTCGATACGTTATCCTCTGACAGTACTCTCGAAAAAAGCTTCCTTCCGACGAGGATTGCAGTTTGCCTTCATAGTGGCCTTATACTCGCTTGCAGGACCGCACGCAAGTTCGTGGCAGTGGCGGGGCAAGACTGCCGCGGAGACGTGGACAGCGCGGAGGCGGTGTGGCAGCTGATGGCGGAGCTCCTGATCGGCACCGCAAAGGGGATGGACGTGCCGCAGGGGGTGCCTATTGGCAGCGGGTATGGCCCCCCGCCGCCAGTGAGGGTGCTCCAAACGAAGGACGTCAAGGGGACTTGCAAGCTGCTGACTCACATCTCCGCCGCTCTGGCCGCCAGGGTTGGAGGCGGGCTAGAAGGTGGGGAAGCTGCGAGCGCGGCAGCTTCGCGTCAGATCTCTCTTGAGGATTTCAACAAGGAGGCGCGGCAAAGGAGAACCAAGATGAACAAGCTGCTCAAGGAGGCGGAGGGGCGGGCAATTGAGAGTCGAGTAGGGGACGACGGGTTGGAGGATCCGGGCGAAAGACGTGGGTTTGCGGACGAGGTTCAAAGACTGTCCGCAGATCCGGACGCTGGTGTCGGTCCCAGCGCAGCGCAGGCAAGGAGCGGGGTTGCTGACGCAAGCGCGCAAGGGGGCCAGCCCTGCGACGAGTGCGAGGCGCAGCGGGCAGCGCTCGAGTGCGCAGAATGCGAGCAAGCGCTGTGCTCCGACTGCTGCGCCAGCCTCCACTCCGGGGGGGCCCGGAGGGCTCACCGGCTGACGTCACTGCCCCCTCCGTGGCAGTGCGAGGAGTGCGAGGGGGCATCGGCGGCCGTCTCGTGCGGGGAGTGCGAGCAGGCCCTCTGCGCGAGCTGCTCCGCCAAGATTCACTCTAAGGGGGCCAGGGCACGGCATGCGGTGGCGCCACTGAGCCTCGCACCCATGCAACCCACCTCACGAGTTTCGACGCCGCCCGACACTCACGATAGCGTAGAGAGGTCAGGGCGTGCGCTGATGGTGGCCAGTAGCAGTGTGTACGCGAGCCTGCGCACCGTGGATCTCGGGCCGAGAGTGGCTCTGGAGCAGACACGTGGCGAGCGGGACAGAGGCCCCGTGGAGGAGAGCCTGTACCTGGGCCTGGCGGACCCGGGTGGGGCAGCGGGGCGGGCAGGAGAACGCGAGGCCTTTTGGGTGGTCCTGGTCAAAGGGGACGCCTTCCTGCGGGGCATGATCCAATCGCAGGTAAGCTTGGTTGCAAGTGCCGCAGGCGAAACGGGTCACTGACTGAGTGCTCCCTCTGTCATTCGCGAGTTGGGGAATCTCCTCTTTACTCGATGTTGAGGGCGCACGGGGGCACGATAATGAGGCAGGTCAGGACGAAAAGGCTACTTTGGCTATGCGAAGGATGCATTTGCAGGTAGCTGAAGCATCACGCATCTTGTTTTGACAATGCTTTCACATTCATGTTGAGGACAGCGTGATGCTTTCATCAGCGACATCCAGCAGCGGATATGGAAAGCCTATGGATCCACCCAGGAGTCAAAAATTTATGCAGCAATGGATACTTGCCCCTCTTAGCTGAGCGTTTGGTCTCAAACGAGGGGTCTCGCTGCTTACCACGATTTCGGTCGTACTCCAGTAAAGTCCAAGACAAACCTGCAAAAGTAGCTGCCACCTCGGCGCTTCTGCGCATCAACACCCGCTGCTTGTGCTAACCGCAGGTGGCAGTCAGCGGCGCATCCTCTGCCACCTGTCCGGAGCCCGACCTGCAGGCAGCGGCGGTGCTCTTCCTGACCTCCCTCCCAGACCCGCCCTGCCCCTCCGCCCACTCCCCAGGCAAAATCCTGATACTCGAAAACGTGTTGCATCACTGCCGCGCGATGGCTGCGGCGGCAGAGCGAGCGCGGCTGAATGGGGCGGCAGGCCCTGGCGAGGACGGGGACCAGGAGCTGCGCGCGTTCTTGGGTTGCCACGATTTGAATGAAGAGATGATTCGGTGGATAGTCAGGATCATGTTCTCACGAGGTTGGAACGTGCAATTTACAGGTAATCAGCTCGAGAGCTCTCTGCTTTTCAGGCACTTGGCAAAGGCATATGTAAAGTAGTCTTAACGCTTACTCAGCTCAGTGTCAAAGCAACTTGTACACTAGAAACTCGCTCAGGAGCAGTTTGCTCTTGGATGTGTATAAATGTAAACAGTGTTTGGTTTGGCAGTGTGCATCTAGGCAGGTTGACTGTGTTTGTGTTTGAAGGCTGACAAAGGTTTGCCTAATTTCGTGTCATATCTGGCGCCTCACTCAACTTTGCGCTCAACAATCACCGTTTTGGTTATTGCGGCCGCAGGACCGCAGCTGAAGTCAATAGGGGTTCGATGGTCTCTTTTCACAGTGACGCCGTAGCCAGTGCGCGGCCATATAGGCTTCTCATGGCATACAATGTGTATGATTGTTCTGTTGCCGATGCTTAGCTACCTAGAATGATCCTTCTCGATTGGACGAAGTGGAAGTATAGAGTCTACTTCTTCAGCACACGTATACAAAAATGGTTGCTTCAACGAAGTATACGGCGGGGTCTTGCGCGACTGCAGATCAACCATTTCATGAGTTCTTCCCTAACCGTCCATTTGATTGACGCACATGTGGTGCTTGCAAATCTGGTGCTTGGCCCGACGGTTCATGAAATCGAAGTGACAACTACCTGTGGATTTCCTAGATCATTCTTATACTAAGATGGACGAACCAGTGTATGTGGCCGTGGCTATAGGTATCTTCAAAGGTACATAGCACGTACGCTTGTGGACGATCTGAACCGTCCTGACTCATGGGCTACCCGGATATGAGGGCGGACCTGTCTAGTGCAATTCCGTCCCAGTCCAAGCTGTCGGATCATTGTAAGTTGGGGACAGAGACGTACGATGTCGGACGTCCGGATCAATCAAGGGCCCCATCTGCACCGCGTGTACTAAGACCCGTACATGGATGTAATACTAAGCGGCCGTCGGATGCCAGCTATGCCAACTTCATTCCATATCACAGGCCACGACAGAGGGCTAATTGCAGTCTCCTATGATTACCGTTGAGTATATTCGACAGCCTTGCTTGCCTGTCCGAATGCAAGATTGGACCCTCGGCCAAAAATCTTCTCAGTACTCGGCCTGCAAAGCATTGCAGTGGCCCCCAAACCCACATGTTGCGCGTCCGGGTCCCTCAGCAAAGATTCACATCATCCGTCCCTTACTTTGGCAAATGGGTGAAAGCCGCCTGAAATTCGAACTCCTGAGCAATTATTGTCGAGAGCCGGATCGCTTTATTGAGCAGCTTAACCCGCTGCGGCCTTGATCTCGCCGGCTATAGACTCCGCTAAGGTGTCAACTGTGTAATTCTTTCCAAAGAATTTGACAAACTCCATGTTCGGGTCCATAAGATACCTGCACAAATACGAAAGGTGAGTCAGCATGTGCATCGACCTTCCACCGAGTCATGAGCAGATATCTGCAACCTCCTTTTAAGGCGTAATGAAGTGTAAAAGAGTGGAGGCTTCACAAAAACCTCTGGTCCGGTTTATCCACAGCTCATGACATCAGGCGAGGCAGACAAGTCTGCGCGTGGCTTTGAAACTCACTGGATGATTGAATGGTCGACCAGGTAGTCGTCTCCTTCCTCCTCCGTCTTCATGTAGTATACCCGGTATGCTTTGGCAGCCTGCTTGACCGCTTCAGCACTTCCAGTAAGCCCCACGAGACGGGGGTGGAACTCTGGAGAAAGGGCGCAGCCTCAATCATTTCCAGACCGACACACAGATATCTGGACACGTCAAGTCGAGATCCTGAACACGCATGCCCTGAGCACTGTACAGGTGTAGGACAAAGACAAGGGACAAAACAAACCCTTCCCAGAATTGTGTCTGCAAACTGCTAGAACTAAACGCGATCTAAATCACGGCAGCGGCATTCGAAAGTCGTGGTCCTTACCTTTGACATATCGCCCCACTTGTTCCACGTTATCTCGTTCTGGATCAACTGAGATGAAGATAGGGACGACCTTGACACCGATGTTTGTCTCCACCTGTGGAAAAACGTAAGGTCAATACCCAGACATAACCAGGAGCTTCGTGCAACTTGTCGACTCCCGTTCGGATCCAATAATACGATAAAAACTTTAGCTGGAAGAAGCACACGCCTTCTGGAGATCAACCGCTGGTCATCGACCAAACAACTTAAAGTGTATAGACATCCCAGCCCTCAGCCCTCAGCCCTCAAGTTCCGCAGTGCCCGGGACTGGCTCCTCACCTTGTCGATAGCCTCTGCCATCTTCTTCAACTCGTCAGGACAGATGTCCGGGCAGAAGGTGAAGCCAAAGTAGACCAGGTTCCAGTTCCCCTTGAAGTCCTTGTCCGTCACCTTCTTCCCATCCTGGTTCACGAGCTCAAACGCACCGCCAATTGCTGCCTTCCCGACGGACGGACCCTGTTTGACCGTTTCCAGCTTCCGTCGCTTCTCTCGATCATAGAACGCCAGCAGGCCCGCTCCTGTGATCAGCAGCAGGGCGAGGCTCCCCCAGGACACCGGCTGCAAGAGGGACAGCCGGTTGCTATTTCCACATCCAGAGAAACAATCTCACCCAGCCCTCTGCCATGACTCATGTGGGTTTTCCTGCTTGGATAAAGTAGATTGGGAGTTGAAGTATGTCAGTCAGTCGCAGAGTATGCTAGCATGTCAGTCAGAGTGAAGGCAAACGTTTTCAGCAAGACTGGTCCCCCAAAACGGAGTAGGAGGATGGGGCTGTTGAGATAGGAAAGATCCTGGATAAGGGGGCTAGCCTAGAGAACCAAACAGAGCATTTGAGCCCAAACATCTTACTTGATTGTCTGATGATTATCAATTTGAAACTTTCAAGGCCTGTGCACCAACTGATGCTAAAATCCCGCATCACCATGCGGCGTTATCTGCAAGCCCGGACCTCCATCTAACATGTCAACAAGTGTTACTGCTACTGAGCAAAAGATCTTCTGTTGGAACCTGTGTTTGATTGGAACCACGGTGGATCATGAACTATTCCTCTATGTGACCAGAGGAAAAACGTTGATTGTCAGCACCCTTCCAGGAGTATGAAGTCAAAATGTCGCTCAAGATCTGCCTCGGACGAGCATCTCTACGACGGACAAAACAAACGCACCACCACACCATCAATCACAAAAGTAGGCCCAGATAGCAGAGCAGTGATAACCTTTCGCAAGTGCATCCTTCGTGACCTGGTTTGCAGCTCCAGCTTTACTGCTTACCCCTGACATTCTTCCCTTCCGCATAGCCACTGTAGCAGCTGGCGTCTGTTCTCCTGACGTACTGGCTGCTGCCTCCGGTATAGGCTTATCTTTGCCGGCCTCCTTTGCTGCGGCCCCGCTCTCCTCAGCCGCAGCTTTCAGAGTCGGAGACGATGTGAACCGCCGCAGCATTTGCAATGGGTTCTGCGGCTGTTGCTGAACAGTAATAGTTTCCCATGCTGCGAAGCCATTGGCACTGTTTGCAAGTGTTCGTCCTGAAAAAGTGCTGAAGTGATTGCTGATCCGTGCTGGCGCTGCCGTGCCTGCTTGCAGGGCCACGCCGAGATCTGGGCCTACGTGTTTCCACATTGCCTGCAAGTGCCATGTCTGCCGTTCCAAATGCTGCAGAACCTTGTGCAATTTAAACAGCTTCTGAGCCATCGGTTTCCGAGAAGAAGCTCCTTTTGCGCCACCACTGCCAATCACTGTGATCACACAGAGTCAGAGTGATCTTGACGAAGACGCAATTCGTGCCTGGACCTCCTCCTCTGACCTTGCCACCTGGACTAGGTCCTAGTCCAGCAAGAAAAGCAAGGGACAGCTTTCAAGTTTCATAGTAATTCATACGAGGAAGTTCGCTGTTCAAAATCCTCTGGCATATATACCGTAGAGCGCCCAAAACCGGATCACGTACCATTAGTGGATCACCTCCGCCCTAAACTGGACCTATCTTGATCCAGTCTCGTATTTCCAACTGTACTAAACTGGATCAGCTCTTTTGTGCGGAAAACCGAGGTTGTTGACTCCAGAGCACCTCCAGAGCATGACCTAGAGTTGGTCAAATCTGGATCCAAGTGCATCGGCAGATAGCCTTTGAAAAACCTGGATATATGGAGAAAACCGCACTTTAAAATCGTATATTCGTTAAAAAATATTGCAGATAAGCGGTACGAAAAATAAGGTGATCCAGTAATGGGCGCTCTACGGTAATAGATAGGTGGCGTTTGCATCAAAAATTGTCTCAATTATTGTGCAAGGCCTCTGCCCAACACAGAATCCGATCCGAGGTGGCTGGTGCTATGGTTGGCCGACCGGGCCGCGTTTCAATAAACCTCCTATCGAAATGGGTTAAGGAGCGCAAACCCAGTCCGATCCTGCCGGTGGGTTCGACGCAAGCCGGTCACCTGCCGAAACCTTCTACGAAGACTCTCGAACCAAGTGCCGTTTTCTGAAATGGACTCTGTCAACTTCCTGGAACCTCCGAGTCCAGGGAATTTGCAGCGGCAGGCCGCTCAGCTACTACTAGCTGCATGTTCTGATATTTATGTGAAAGTCCAACTTGGACACACCAGTAGTGCATTTATGGGTCCTGGGTGGCTGCAAAGACTGAAGAGCTGGCGGGCACTCAACATGGCGGGTGTTAACAACGGTGTGCCTGCTGGAGAACAAGGTCTGCCAGGGCAAGCAGCGGTACCCAGCGAGGCCGGTCCAGAAAGGGCACAGGCAGGTGGCGGCGCCACTGGAGGGGAAAGCAACATAGTGTTCAAAAAGAAGGCACCCAGCAAAAACGTGAGGAGGAGAGCTCGCGATGATGGTGACGATGATGATGCAGCTGGGGGAGCGTCGGCGGTAGTAAAGAAAAGCAGCAAGCAGCCACGTTGGGAGAAGGACGCTGGGACTCCCGATGAAGCTGGCGCGCAGAAGAAGGCCGGGTTTGTGTTTGATTCGAGCCGGCAGGTCCAAGTGGTAGGGGATGCAGGGGCCACGAGGACCAACGAAATGGAGACGGAGTTTGATAAGGATGGGCGGGCGCTGAGAGAGCAGCAGCTGAAGAAAGCAGGGCAAGGGAAAGAGGTCGATGATAAGGTGTACAGGGGTATGAATGCCTACACAGATCATCGAGCAGGGTTCCGGAGGGAGCATACGATAGCGGGTGAGAAAGGTGGAGGGGCGCATGGGCCATTGCGGGCGTCTGCGCATCTTCGGGCGTCGGTCAGGTTTGACTACCAGCCTGACCTGTGTAAGGACTACAAGGAGACAGGATACTGCGGATTCGGGGACGCGTGCAAGTTCATGCACGATAGAGGGGATTACAAGTCGGGGTGGCAAATGGAAAAAGAGTGGGATGAGAAGGAGAAGTTGAGAAAGGCGAGGTTGGCACAAGGAGTTGAGGAGGAACAAGAGGACGACGACGAGGATAGTGATGAGGATGCCTTGCCATTTGCTTGCTTTATCTGCCGGCAGCCTTTCAAGGATCCTGTGGTAACTAAGTGCGGGCACTATTTCTGTGAACATTGCGCTTTAAAGCATAATTCGAAAACAAAGAACTGCTATGTTTGCGAAAAGCCGACGGGGGGAGTGTTTAACACCGCACATGAGATCATTAAAAAGATGAAAGAAGAAAAGACTAAAGTAGGATAGTAGGCCCGCTTTGTGTAAGCCTGCTGCAGCAGGAAGACCTTATCTACCTGAGAAAGGTGCATCAAGCATCCTTTCAGATGCTCCAAACAGTCGCCAGATCATGTCTTCTTTGTTACAAAACACAACCAACCGTTCCTGCTCTCGGAAGCAATCTATCACTGGTTTGACATAATTGCTTGTTGGTCTGCATTTCGTTTTAATTAATCTATGATCCTCGAGCATCAGTCGTTGAGCTGCAACATGAGTTGAGTTATTATTGCAAAGCTCGATGCATGGCATGTGTCACTTATAGGTGGTTGGCCACCGGTGACATATGTACAGGCAGCTCGTCGGCCAGCTTTAGTATCCCTAGCTGTTCATGATTGCGTGCTCTTCTAACCCAAGCTTCGATGAAAGATATCCAGCACATGGTCCACCAATTGCTTAACCAGCTGATTCATTTCGACAGAAGCTCCTACACCGCCTAGGATCGATCATGCACACGCAAACTTGTTGAGCAATTGCATGTTTATCTGCAGGAACAATTGTTTTGCAGAATTGGTATGAATTCTGCAATTGACAGATTGGTTCTAGCTGTCTGACAGTCCCTACCGTCATCATGGCATGTAGGTATATCACATGTTGAGCAATTAAAAGTTCGATAAGCAGGAAAATTTGTTCCAGAATTGGTATGATTTTTGCAATTGACAGCTGATTGGTTCTGTCTGACAGTCCCTACCGTCATCATGGTAAATATCACAAGAAACACGATCCATTTTTGTGTGTTTGGGTCATGCATAAAAGTCGCAAACGGATCCTTCGCTGTTGCTAGCAAGTGAAGAAGAGCAAGTGAAGATCCCCTCAAATCCGACACCAATTATTCACATCTTGACAACCCCGCACATTCCACCTTCCAAAATCCCCAATCTTCTGCTGACGGATTATCACCTTTCAATCCCGCTCTTCTGGGCGGCTTCCCTACAGTTCAAAGATCTGAATTGGCAGCTTCCTCGTGGACCCTGATGCCGCGACCGCCGTTAATTCGATAGAGATGTCAATGCTGCGGTGCTTCCTACTCTTGACGATGCTGATCCGCCCGGCCAGCAACTTCGCAGGCGCATCCGCCGAGCCCACTGGCGCATCCGGGGAAGCGCTTGCCGCTGCCCCCGGCAGCGCGAGAGTGACCGGCTCCTTGAGCGTCAGGATGGTCTGCTGCCAGTGAGTCTTGGTGGCAAACGGAGACGTGGATAGCTTCACGGGGTGGTCCTTGCAGAAGCGCGCAGTGAAGTCGGTGTCGAACCACACCCCGAGGGCGTAGCACGCCACAGACGACGGGGCAGCCTCGCTGCCGCTGCCTGTTGGCGTGTCGGTGGGTGGGCCCGGGGAGGACTCCCCGTGCAGCTGCGCCTTGATTTCAAATGAGGTGGTGAAGTCGGCCTCGCTGGCCTCCATGGTCATCAAGTCAAACGTCTGCACGCAGGCGAAGGACGAAACGTCAAAGTCGGATGAGGCCTATACAGAGTCTAGCAAAAATGTCCCTTCGTCCTCCGAGTGCAACTACTGGCCTTCAGACGGCAATTGTAACGTCAAATTGGAGGCGATCTAGAGGAAACGTCACCTCTTAGACACCTCTAGAACTTTGGACCAGATTGACATTTTGAGATTTGGGCAGAGCATCGAGACCCTCCGCTCAAAGTGAGAGCACCGTCATCAAACAAGGTGGGCCCCTGATGGACGCGAATACTCTGTCGTCGCCACTGTTGCCGGGTCCTCACCTGGATGAGGCACGGCTCGGTGACGACATCCTGCGGGTGCACGTCATCAACGATGGGCACTTCCCCGGCGTCGGCGAAGACCTCGTGCCCCACGGTGGACATGTCGAAGCCGTATACGTCCTCCCAGAAGCCCAGGCTGGTCGCGCTCCGACCCAGGCCCGCCAGAAACTGCACGCAGACCCGCGGCTGGGTGAGCAACGGGGGCGAAACATTCCTCGAACCATAAATCACACAATAGCGACACTTCCTACAGATTCGGTGAGTATAGGAAATGCTCTGACCGCGAGCTAGAAAGACATGGATTGAAGGCGGGAAGTCAATAAACGCATTACAACGAACTAGAAGTCGGCGAAAAACAAGGCATTTACGTAACAAAGGGCATGGCACGAAGATTCCGGTCCCCATACATAGAAGCAACTGTATGCGACTACTGGTCGTTTCCACCGCGCGAAAACGACGGAGTCTGCAGGGGCCTGGCCCTCTCCTGCAAAGCGCTTTCCAAGGTGTGCCAGCGAAGCTAACGGCCGCTCCTCACCATGTGTGCGGTGTCCGGCAGGACGGCGCCCCCTGGCGCAAGGAACTTGTCGCGCGCGTAGAGGACGGAGTCGAGCATGGACTCGTAGAGGAGGCAGTAGCCCATCCACTCGCTGACAATGACGTCCACCTTGCCGGGCTCCGCCGTCTGGCCCACCGGCAGCCGCTCCAACTTCTCGATCATACTGTCCACGATCTTGACGATGCCCTTGGCGGGGGGGCCGCCGCTCGGGGGCAGCGACAGCTGCGTGGACGACGACGGGAAGCCGTTGGCTTTGGCAATCTGCAAAAAAGGGGAGTGATGTCAGGACTTGGCGCTGCATGGACGGGGTTCATTGGTCTGACGTCAGCCTTGGAAGGGGTTTGAAATACGCCCGGATGAACATGGCGGGCCTAGGTTGACGGAAGCCGCTCCTGGTCCTTCTGCAAAAGAAGAAGGACCTGGAGAAGGACCAGGAAAAGGCCAGGAGAAGGACCAGGAAAAGACCAGGAGAAGGCCCAGGAAAAGGCAGCAGAAGAAAGAAGCGAAAGCGGAAGCTCTCCACTCGGAGGCGAAGTCCTCTTCGATTGTCACTTGGATGTGTTAGTTGAGTGGATTTGACAGGATGTTCACCATCGAATTGCGCCGTTTGGCACGCTCATCAGAGCTGACATCGCGAAGACTGGTCACAACGCTTCGACAACTCAAAAGACTTCCTTCAACGCTTCGACAACTCAAAAGACTTCCTTCAATCAGCAACGTAAGGGTCCTCCCGCTTGAAACCCCTCCCGCATATATATTATAACGTTTGGCCAACAAATCCCTTCGCAGTGCATCAGGTCCATCATAGAATCCTGAAGAGTTGTCGGGTCGTGCGGGTAGCTTCGCAGTACGTAGCAATGTTGGGTTATGTGGCTGTTCTCACCTGGCGTGCGATGGCGGCCATCTTGCTGCTGCCGTCCACTCCGACGACCTCCGCTGCGCCGGCCGAAGCCGCAATGAGGCTCAAGATGCCGGTGCCGCAGCCGACATCCAGAACCGCCTTGCCCTCAAACAGGCTGCGGTTTTGCTCGATAGCGTCCTTGTACGCCAGGGTGCGGGCCTTGTCGCTCAGCATCTCCCTGCCAGGCGGCAGACACGTACATAGATTGAGACGAAGGAAGAGACATCTCTGGGTCACGGCCGGAGAAGGAAGGGGGGCAAGACGGCAAGGGGGAGGAGAAGACTGTCGAAGCGCAGATGGCAAGGTTGCCCGTTGAAAGGGACAGTATATCATCAGCATGGAGCGTTAAACAACGGATGCAGAAAAGGCGCCAGAGAATAATACTGGCAAGCACATGCTTGCACATCCGCGAGGAATTCGGAACTCTGCTGTCCAAGGAGTAGCAACGCATGGTTTTGATTGTACGAGCCGTCTCACAGAGGGGCCGAGGCAGCCTTCACATCGCTCTCACCTGTGGATGCCAAACATGCTGTAGCTGTCGAAGTAGCTCTCGTCCCGCTTCTCGCTCTCGCTCTCCGCCATGGGGGCAAAGCGCACGTGCGCCGCCTTCTTCCGGTGCGGCCCGGATTTCTTCAGGGAGCTGGGGGGCTGGCCTTCCCCGTGCCCCTCTCCCAGTGCCGCTGGCTCCTCGTCCCCTCCAAACATAATCTCCGCCTCCTCGAGCTGCTCTTCTTCCTCCACCAACTGTTCCACCGCCACCCCCTCTTTCTTGGCCACTTCGTCCAGCCCAATCACCGGGTGAGAACCCCCCCCCGAGCGCAGCCTATTCCCAACGCCCCCTCCTTCGCTGTCCCCCTCGTCCATCTCGTCGCCCTCATCGTCTGCGTCGTCCCCGTCCCCCTGGAAGAGTGGCGACTGCATGAACTTGCGGGGATGGGGAGACCCCGGGGTGCTGAGGGTGTGCATCAGGAACCGGCGCGGGTGCGGGGACCCCGGGGTGTGGTATGCCCCCCTCCGGCTGGGCGTGGCGACCCCCCTGCGCTGAAGGACCTCATGCAAAGGTGACGAAACGGGGGTCGTGTGCGGAGCCGGTGGGGGGGAGTTGGGCCCGGAAGAGTCGGGGTCGTCGAACGAGATGCGCTTGGTCTTCTTGAATTCAGGGAGGTCGGCCGGTTCCTCGCCAGCCTGGCGAGGCTTTGCAAGGGAGAACTGGAGGGCCGCAACTTCTGCCTGAACAAAGACCAACGAAGGCAACTTGATCGAGGTTTGCGAAGGTGATTAACGGCTTCAAAGAGGTGGTATTATTCTGATCAACGATGAGAACAAACGGCGGAAAACAAGACTGAACAAAAGCTTGGTTTCCTGGTTCGTGTAAAGACCCAACTGCGCTTTTATAGCATCGAGTCCCTGGACGTTTGTTGCCTGAAGATAGGTGATAGAAGAACGTCGCGCGGAAGACCATTAGCAGCCTCCTTGGCTTTATGGACGCCTTGAAGTCAGGAATGAACCCTTGAACGTCAGAGTTACTCTATTCTTTCTGCATGGAAAGCTGCATAGATCTCAAGCAATCCTACCTGCAACTCTTCGGCATCCTGCTGCGCTATCTTCATGGCCGCCAGCTCCGCGCGCAGGTCCTCGTTTTCGCGCTGCAGCATCAGCAGGCGGTCCCCCTCGTGCAGCTCGCGGCTCAGCCCCGCCACAAGCGGGGCCGGAGGCGACACCCGTGCCTTCAGCCCGCCTGCCTTTGGGAGCATCCGACCTGTCCCTGCGCGACCAGGGGACCTTTGCGGAGGCTCCTCAAAACTGCGACTCTGCTCGGACGCACTCGTCGCATCAGAATCGAAACTGCGAGCGGTGGGGCCACCGCCCAGATCCATTCGCATGCCCCTCTCGCTGCCAGTGCTGCTGGTGGGGGAGTCCCTCAGCGCCGGGGTTGCCTTGGTCACGTGGCTGGTGCCAGGCGGATGCAGGCCCCCATGCACGCTGACGTCGGCCTCATACCCCGGGTCCATTGACATTGTTTTAGGGAGCTGGCTCACAAGGCCGCTGACCTCATCCCGACCCTCATCAACGGCGCCCGCTTCCTCTTCAAGTTCTACGTCGTCATCTTCCAGGGTGTACAAGAGGGGATCGTCTTGGAGAAAGGGCGCTAGGAACGCGTCATTGTCCCAAGGCCCCCGGGCAGCACTCTCTGACTCTGTGTTTCCGGTGCTCGAGAGAGGGGGTTCGAGGCCAAAATGGCTGGTGTCTTGGAGGTGGAGAAGCAATGCGTCCCGTGAGGTGAAGTGGGTTGCGCAGCGGGGACACGTCAATTCAGAAACCTGAAGGAAAGGTTGGGAGAAGAAATTGGACTCAACATTTTTTTCAGCAATCGTCTGATCGATGCTAACTCCTGCCAAGAGAGACGTTTCAAGAACTTCAAGCCCTAGGGAGTTGAAGAACGTTGTTTTCGTCGAGTAAAACAAGAGTTGAGCAGTCAGAAGCAGGGTGCACAAGCAATCGTGAATGTACCTGACGCCTGAGGTAGTTGACAACTTTTATGCTGTCGTACAGATCCAGATGGTACTGCTTGAGGAAGCCGGTCAAGTCAAAACCGTGTTCCGCTTTGCAGTGGTGCAGGGACGCAGCTGCTGAAGGTGCAACCTTTTTGCAGAAGAGGCAAAGGGTGGAAGCCTCGTCTCCAGAGTCTGCAGGACAAGCAGCAGTCTAGGTGTTTGATGACTTAACCAGTGAAGAATATGCTGCCTTTACAGACAGAAGTGATGGTTATCGTTAAAAGGGACGTGGCAAAGGCAGATCATCACCTTCAATTGATAACATTATCCAAACTGCAAGTGCTCCATGCAGCATTCCCAAACCCGTTCGAGGAGGTACGTCACTTTCCTTTGTCAAGTATTGAGATGATGAGCAACACTGGAAAAGACAATGCTGCAACGCTGCACAAGGATCAGCGCATATCCATTGCCCCATCTCACCCGCCCCACTTTCATTTGCATTCCAGTCTGTCCAGTCTGCTACTTCTTCGCCAGGATCAGAATCGCTCAGAGGACCTTCCACCACCTCGCCCTCATTCATCATAGTGCCAATAGCAAAAACTCATACACCTTTTCGTGATGCATTAAATTTACAGCAAGTTGAAAGTGGACCTTGGAATGCTTGAAGCGATGTCGTGAAACTTGGAAGTGGACCTCGTTAGCTCGGTAATTACTGACAAAGTCAGTACCGAGCTGTCGCAATCGACCCCGGGGTTTCCGAAAAGGGGGAAGTGGCGATGCAGACTGGATCACTCTATTAAGCCCGGTTCGGCCCGTCGAACGTAGAATTCAGTGATTCACGGTCTGATTTTGCAGACCCCCATTTTCGACGGGTTTTGAGGTTCGATGCTTCGCAAAACTTTTTTCTAGGGGTTAAACCCTGAACCCTGCACGTGCCTGTCGGGTCTGCATCGCCCGACTACCGACAGAGCCGCGCGGCCGGCCGTTCTCTGAATCGCGCCCGCCAGAAGTCGTAACGGGAATAAGCTTAAGATTTATCATAGCTTATCAGGAGCACACGCAATCTGACGTACGTATTTGATGCTCGCACGATCGATTATACAATTGTTTGCGGTGGATGGTTATAGTACGTGTAAAGCGTATGTTTGCAGGTCTTATAAACTACCGGTATTTCATGCGTCTGAAGACTGAAGTGGCTTTCTTATACTATTTGTATGATTCAGCTGTTTTCGAATGGATTGAAATTTGAAATGATATCGCCTCATCGTAAACCAAGCGATTGCAGCGTTTCGCTGCCTACATTTTTTTAATTTTGTTTCAACATTCGCCCTACCCTATAGGGCCAGGCGGAATTCACGGGTTACAAACCCAGTTATACGTTCAAATGTTCGTTTTTCCTGCCCATTCGAACGCCGTTTCAAACCCATCTGACTGCTGCCAGTCGCTACAACTCAGGAGTCTGAGGACATCCTAGGTGGCGACCATTGCTTTGATTACAGATGAAATGTTAGGGTAGCGGTAGTACCAGGAATATGGCCGAATATACTGGTTTACAGTAAGAACACGGTATTTGTGCAGACTAGTAGTAATAGCGAAGTGAGCAAAGCAGCACTGGTGAAGCCGCAGTCGCGACTCGCACCATGGCAGCACAGGCTTGAAGGAAACTCTCCATGCTGCTTAAACTTATTAAGTGCTTTCAAAGTTGGTCCCGACTCCCACTCCAGCTGGCCTCATTGTCCACTAGCTGTCCTTCGAGTGGCTCCATACTTTGTCGTCCTCTGATCCTGGTCCAGGATGTGGCGGGCTTGAAACAATGCAGAACGTTGACTGAGAAAGCAATGTGATTGCTGCCAGGCGAGCTGCTGTGACATTCGAAAGGAGGATAAAGAGAGCGCATTGCCTGCCGACGTTGTTAGCGGAGGGCTCCTCAGAAAAGATGGTCGCAGCCTCGACCTCGCAGTCAGTGCTACGGAGCTGGCAGGTCGGGAATCCCTCTGTGCCCCGCTCAAAGGCAAATGCGGCACACGTCAGCAAAATTTGCTGCATCCTCAAAAAGGCCAATGCAAGCCAGCCCTTCGGCTTCCAGAACCCCACAGGCCTTCCCCACTCTCTGGCTACCCGCAGCCACTGCCATCTCCGGCGTGAGTCTTTCCATGTCAGGTGCTCGAATGCCGCCGAAGCTGTGGCTGCAAAGCAACATCCGGCCAAGAAGCACCATGACAAGAGGCATGAACACCACAAGGCCACCGAGGACGTCGGTATCATTGAGTGGTTGAAGGAAAATGGGGCGGAGCAGCCACAGGTTGCTTTGAAGGACAAGAAGGTCCATGGGCAAAACGAGCGCCCTATTCATGTCCTTGTGGCAGCAGAGGACCTGAAAGTAAGTCAGGATTGGCACATTCTTTGAGTCGCCAAGGTTTCCAGCCCCTTCAGGGGTGTTGCATTTCGAGCACCCCCACGCAGCAGCAACAAGTGACGCGTTCAGTGCAATTGGAGAAACCAATTCGTGCGAGCCAGTCACTCAGCTAGGCTCGCTTGGCACAAATCTTCTCGACGGCAGCCTCGCAACTTTGATTGCACTGTATGACATTCACTACATGCATCAGGGTGTGTAAGGCAACCCAGCTAAGTCTGGACCTGGACCAAGGAAACATAATTGGGTTTGCCTTGATTCCAGGCCGGCCACAAGGCGCTGTCCATTCCGGACAATCTGGTCGTCACACTTGAACGCGTGCTTGGCGATGAGAACGTTGGTAAGTAAGCCTGTATGTATTGGCTCAACTTCTGCACGAAATGTGGCAAGCACAATGCTGTTTCTTCTTTCTACTTAATAGTAACAGACAGAGCATCTATCAGAACCTGTCGTGCAGAGCTCATGCGGTTGTAGTGAGTGGAGACGGGAACTTGTGGCAATCGAGGGACTGTGCTGCATTACAGAAGAGTAGGTAATCCAAGTTCCCAGCCTCTAGCAGAACACCACAGCAGCAGAGTTCTGAGCAGCATCAGGATCTCAACTAACACCATGTCACAAACAAGGACTGTTGAAGAGTATTACGAATCTTCTGCAGCGGAGCTCCTGACAACCAACAAGCTGTCGGAGCTGGCGTGCTTGGCCCTGTACCTTATGTATGAGAAGAAGCGGGGGAGGGAGTCGTTCTGGTTCCCATTCATCCGGGAGCTGGACAGGCAGAGGGGACGGGGACAGGCGGCTGTCGAGTCGCCGCTGCTCTGGTCAAAGGACGAGGTCGACGCGTACTTGCAAGGGAGTCCAATGAAGGTGAAGGTGGCACGATTTGAGCCTGCATGATCCTACCACACTCTTCTCTTACACCAAGCAGACTATCAACTTTCTTTCCTGGCTTTCTCAATGTAACATTGCCGTGTGCACCAGTCGGCCTTACATCCTGAAGCCTGCTTCCTCCTGTGCAGCAAATTGTGGCGGAGCGGTTGATTGGCATCGAGCGGGAATACAACGAGTTGGACACAGTGTGGTTCATGGCGGGCAGCCTGTTCCAGGTGAGGGCTTCCGCTGAGCACCTGGAACTACACTGCCCACTTTCGCTGTGCCCTCTGGAACTACACCGCCCACTGCACTGTTGTACAGAGGATCTGGCTTCCTTAATGGAAGATGGGGGATGAGGTGTGACTTGCAACGAAAGAACCGAGAGTTGGACAGTAGACCTACCCTTGACTTCACTGTTTTAGGTTGGGTCTTGTTGAATACAGTACGCTTCCACAAGAGCGGCATGGTTGTGCTTGGATGGTTGTGGAACCCAGCAATTAAGTCTTGCAGATATCTCATCCACGGCTGCTGATCCTGCTCTTGGCTATCTAACTGCAGGAGTACCCGTTTGACATCCCCACCGAGGCCTTTACCTTCCAGATCTTCAAGCAAGCGTTTGCTGCGGTCCAGGCGTCCGTAGTGCACCTGCAGGTAGTCCTCTAAGCTTCCTTCTCTAGTGCTCCAACATGCCCCTCCTTCCTTCGAGAGGTTTCCTTTGCTTGGGGTCAGAGTGCCTGAGCTAAGCGGTTCAATCAAAAGGGAAGATGCATAGGTAGGTCGCTTCCTTTAGCCTTCGACAAACCCCTGTCTGCCGTCCAGTCTTTCGTCCGTTTCGGCAGACAAACTCTTTCCTCCATCTGGGGGGCCTATTCCTTCGTATGCTGGTCTGTGACGTGTCCCCCGCTGCTACCAGGGCGTCAACCTGGCCAAGCGCTTTGCGTTGGTGCCGCTCGGCCCGCCGCTGACGTCGTACAAGAGCAATTGCCGGGCAATGCTCAAGGCGAACGCGGGGCACGTGGAGCTGGAGGTTGACCGGGACTACGAACAAGGGGAGCCCATCGTGGCCTGGTAAGTGGCCTCGACTAATTCGACTCCAATGCAAAAGCAGGGGCGTCGAGGGGCTTGTGGAGCCGAAAGCACGGGCGGGGTTGCTGGAGGATAGAGTCGTTCTGGCCGTGCTGGCTTCGATGGTTTGATAAAAAGTCGCCCGCCGTCTTGGACGCTCAAAGAAACCGTTCAACGAGTGTTGTCAGTCCAGCGACCACTTTTGCACTTGGCCCTCGCTCAAACCGTTCTCTCGGTATGACACCATTCGGTGCGCTGGAGCTGACACTCGGTTGCTCGCACGCAGGTGCGGGCCGCAGCCCAACGTGAAGCTGTTCTTGAACTACGGCTTTGTGGACGAGGATAACCCGTACGATCGGCTCACTGTGGAGGTAACGATCCAGCACAGCCGCTCATTCATTCTGGAGGTTGTTTGTTCTTGCGAGCAGATTACGATAGATGCCGCTGACAGTTGGGCCAACTTCATCTGCGATTGAGGGCACTGTTACCTTCCGACGGCCGCCGTATGATTAAAACGTGCCATGTCATAGCGTCTAGTTCGAAAAGAAGACCAGCAATCTTCGGGTAGGGGCTTCACTTTGGCTTGGCGCCTTTCCTGAAGGAACTTGCCGCTCCGGCCTCAGGTCTCCCAAGTGCTTTCGCGTCCGTTAAATCCCGACCATGTCCTACTTGACAAGCAGCTGTTTCGCTAACTGGCCCCTGAGAAAGGCGCCGAAGCCGGTCTTAACTGAGGTCAAGGGTCGCGGTGCAGGCCGCTCTCGACACCAAGGATCCGCTGTACCAGCAGAAGAAGGCCATCGTGCAGAAGAACGAGAAGATGCGCGTGCAGGCTTTCCAGGTGCGGCCTCTCTGTCTTGACCATTCTGCGCCACTTGGTGATTTTAGCGACACCTTTGAACCGCGGAGGAGCAGATGTGGACAGCGAAATTGCTCTTCACTCGTCCTCACCTCGACTGCTGCCGATTCGTTCTCACCACGGAGAATCACATCTTGGTTTCGTAGGCATCCGTGTCGTGTTTTTCGAACATTACGAACATGTCATGGGATGCGCCATGCTGTGAGCTAAACCCCAGACGGGTCCGGCCCGGCAAAGTCTGACGGAAACTGTTCCCGTGTCGATCGCTGTTCAGATCTACCGCAACAAGGAGATGGCTGCGGTGTACGAGATGTTGCCGTACGTCCGCTTGGCGCACGTGGTCGAAGAGGAGGCGCTGGAGGACGTCATCTTCGCCAAGGGGCCCATCTGCCCCGTGAGTCGGCCGCCCCTCTCTTAAAGACGCGCGAAAATGCATCGCCTTAAGCTGGTGTAGTGTTCCAGAGCTCTCTTCCACATCTGTCTTCCGAAGTGGTGACATGGAATCACCTGCCAGACACGTGCGAATGAATCCTCCCAGGCTGAGCTGTACTCCAAAGAAAGAAGAGCGGAAGCGCAATCTAAAGCTGATCTGTTTGCGAGCTAGACAAAGAGGGCCAGGGGAGGCTCAGAGAGGTTTGCCAAATTGTTCGTGATGACGAGGGGCCGACCCGGAGTTGCCGCTTGCTCTCATATTTGCAGGTTCCTATTGTGGCTGCGGGAGGGCCTTTCTTTGATGCGCATCTGGTTGCGAAGACGGGTATCCTGCTGTTGTCACACTCGTTCCGACTCGTGCTTAGGAGCAGATTTAGAAACATAGGGTAAGCATGACCATGTGTGCTGTGGTTCAGGTGAGCCCCTGCAACGAGAGGGCCGTGTTGAACCAGATTCGGGATTATACCGTTGAGCGCATGGCAGGCTACGCCACGACCATCGAGGAGGACAACAAAGTGGTAAGCCCCCTCCTGCATTCTTAATTGTTGCTACTTCGACTCTTGTATTTGTTACCTGTTGGCTTATGTGAGATCTATTGAGAATAGCTTGCAATTTGATGTGCTGGCATTGGTTTTGATCTCAAGCTGGGAATTGCATGTACAGATTGGGGACGACAAAGCACCTCCAAAGAAGCGAGTCGCCTCGAAGTTACTAAAGCTAGAAAAGAAGATCCTCAGGAACTTCTTGGCAGCTGTCGACGAGTTGATTAACGAACTGCCAGATGGGTCGGATATCCCATGCCAGGGAGTGTTCCCCCCAATCTTTAAGTAGCATTGATCTGTCCATTGGTTTCTGAAAGGATCACATCCAACAGTTTGCTAACTTCCCAGAAGCCTCGGAAATCATAGGGTGATACTGAGCCTGCAAAGTGCAGTGCTATACCATCTTTTTGGATTCCTGCATGAATTTGGTGTCATAGTAAGCTCTTGTGCCTATAGTAGTCAGCAATCTGGCTATATAGTGCTGTCTTACTTGCGAGTGCACCGATCATGCTGTGCCACATGTGCACGGAACTTCAATACCATGATGACCCCGTGAAGTACGACACTGATGCACATGTGTGCGCAATTTGAATGACTGGTTGGAACATACCAGGCTAGCTTATCGCTGAATCCTACCATATGCTACTCGCCACGCATCAATCGGAAGCTATGAGGTCAAAATTCGTAATATGCTCAGAAGCACATGCACATGTCCAACAACAGACGATCTCGACTTTGAGTGAAAATACAAGGTTGCGATATTGGCATGCTATCTCACACTAGCTATGCGCAAACAGAGGGATGCATAAAGGCGTAAGACTTAGATTATGTTTTTTGCTTCGAGCAATCACCTGTCGTTTCACTGAAAACTACAGAGGAACTGGGCTGTAAAATCTTTCACTACTTACAAACAGGCTGAAGTGCGAGCTACGTGGATTGGTCCTATACTAGCTTATCCATGTTTCGTCTAGGTAAAGTCAGCCAATCAAATTCCAGTGCTACGTAGTGAAACCTACAGTAAGTACATGTCCCCACAACTAACAATTTGATGCTATGTACAGTATGCACAGCCTTTACAACAACTCCTCCCCCCCAATGCTTTCGATAAATTTCTACAGTTTATTGGTCTAAACAGCATTTACAAGTATGTACAACTGACTATACAACCCTGACAGAATGTACAAGCACAGGGACCCCTTATGGGTAAGAAGTGCTTCTGTTTGGAAGCACTCGTTCAAAGCTCGACCTTTCAGCGGAGAGGAAGCATGTCTTATAGACTAGCAGCCACGAGTGACTCCGCGTTCACATATTCCTGCAAACATCACAGTTTGTCAATTTGAGCTGAAAAGTCTTAGAAGCAGCAACTACGTATTGAGCAATGCCCACCATAAAAGAAGTGCCCGTCTTTGCACTCAACGGATATATCAATCTACGCCAGAAACCCTGAGCCGAGAACGTAATCAAGCATCACAAAGTCTGAACTCGGAATCAGAATTATATTTTCACTATGCCAGTCGGTGCAAAAGACCAGCTGCAAATAGCGGGGTTTAACTCTTCACATCCGGCCAAGCAATATGCGACCCTGCGCTAACGCAAGACTCTACAGTTGCTCACCTCGTGGCTGGCCTGGTGCGAGACGACCACCTCGCCCGCTGCGTCGAGGTCCACCACGAGACTGTCATTCTCAAGGAACCCCCCCACGAGGATGTACTCGCTCAGCGCGTCCTCCACAAGCGCCGTCACCTTTCTGCGCAGCGGGCGCGCACCGTAGCTGCGGTCGTAGCCCTCCTCGCAAATCTTGGTGACTACGCTGTCCGTCACCTCCAGCTGCAGTCGCCGCTCCGACAGGCAGCGCGCCTTCACCTCCGCCAGCATCAGGGCCACGATCGAGCGCACCTGGGAGCACCGGCGGTGGCAGTGAGCTTGGGAGCAGAGGGAAGATACCC